GTTTGTTTTACATCACCTGTGCATCGGACCCAACTTATCTAACAAGCTCTACAAAGCTATTGCACTGCCAGCAATAAAAGTGATGGGCACCCATGTCTTTCACAGGTTGAGTTTAAACAAGGCTGGTGATGGATTTTACAGCTTTCAAATTGCTTCTGTGTACTTGTAAATAAGTGTCAGGCATAGCATTAATTGTTTAGGGCTGTTTTTTGTTTTACACCGCTGTAAAGCTGTGACTTAATGCAGAGCAGTCCTTTCCTCCAGGATTCTGGCTGTGCTCCTGGGCATAAGGAGAGATGGGCTGCAAAGATTTAGTGCCAAATTATTTACAAAACCTGTCTGAAAAGAGCTGACATTTCACTAAGTGTATTTGAATAATTAGGTCATGAATTAAAACCTCTCAGGATTTTTTTTCACACTGAAAAAACACATTATAAACAATAAAAACATTCTTTAAAATCATCCAGTCCATGATCTGGGGAAAAGATGACATATTCTCAAAGTGACTTTCATAGCTTAGCTTAGCTTAGCTTAGCTTCTCAGCTGTACAACTCATGGGGCTTCATTCTGCCTTTCACAGAGTGCACTGATAAAGACTATGAGAAGCTTAATGGGGTACTCAGAACAAACACAGCTGAGATGGTTAGCATGTTTTCCATTTCATAGTTTTAAGGCTTGATTTATGCAACAGCACCTGAAAAAGGGGAGGAGGGGGATGATGGAGGTGTTCACCAGTGTCATGTTACCATTGGCTTGGGATGGAGGGTGAACCTGATAATCCCACAATGTGTGCCTGTGGGTGCCTGCGACATTGGGTGCACCTGGTTTACAGCCCAGGAGCTCTCCTTATATAACTGTCCTTCACAGCTGCCTTGGGGTAAGTGTTGGGGTTGGCACAGGCTTCGGAGGACCTGGAACATAAATCTCTGTAAAGAAGCACACGGATTTTCCTCTTCCAAATATTTGCTATCCCCTGAGTGAGCTGACTGTGCAAAACTCATCCTTAAGAGTTTGCTGCCTTGGGCAAGTGTCCTCCTTCAAATGAGTGCAGTGAGATATTCCAAGACCAGTTGAAATTTCTTCTCAAACCCAGTGGGCTGCATAGGACCTCAAATATCTTCTCTGCCTGTGCGGTCTGTCTGTGGGGATGTGCTGTAGTTTCACAGATAACTGCAGCTATGGAGGGAGGTTGTAGTTAAAAGTCTGCCATGACTTCTTTCAGCCATTGAAGAAAACAGGCTGGGACATGTCAGGTGTCTGTTCAGGCCTTGCAGGAGGCTTTCATCCTGTGCTGCTCAAGTAAGACAAACTATGAGATCACTGGTTGCTAAACACTTGATGTGATTTCCCAAGGTTTGCCTCCATGGTAAGTACTCTGGTAATTTGGGTAGTGTTGACAGAAGCACTGAATGTTACCCAAAGCACTTAGTGATTTCTTTTTAATGCTAGCTCCAGCAGAAAAATGGTAAGAAGTTCACCTCTCCTTCATGGCATTGTTATGCTTCTAATGGTCCACAGAAATCCACCTTCATGTCCCATAGCTATCACTCAGCCTGGGCTGCCCTATTGCTCCTCTTCCAGCTCTAAGGACAGGATGAGAACAACCAGATTCCTGGACAGGATCATGTAGCTGCCAGCCCGAGTGAACTGTGTTGAACTATGCTCTGTTTCTTCAGCAGCCACAGTTTCAGCAGCCTGGGAATGGATCAAACTCATGACCCTAATTCTTGGGTCTCCTCCGCCTTTACATCTTTTATGTTAATATTTTTGTCTTTTAGCTTAATATTTGAAAGTGATTTCAAATTGCATTTTAATACAGTATTCTGAGAGTGGAGCAGTGACATCTTCTAAAAAAAATACATATATCATTTATTTTTTCCTTTGTGACAAAGGAGTCTTTTCATTTATAAACCCATACTTTGGAGACTCCATATTGTCTTGTATTTGCTCTCAAGGAAAACCCTCTATTAAACTTCCCTGTGCAACTGTTTGTAGTACTGTTTGCCAAAAGGCTCACATTGGCATGCATCTGTTCCAGGATCAGCTTCCCAGTTGCTGATGGGGAGGAGGACTCAAAACCTGGCCAGTAAATGCTCAATGACCCCATGGACTTCTGCACTTGTAGAGGAGGAAACATCACAGCTGCTGGGGCACCCATAGTGAAAAAGGCTTAGGGACTCTGGAAAGAATCATTAGCATCATTATGATTGGAAAAGACCACTGAGGTCATCTAGTCCAACCATCAACCCATTGCCAACAGTTCCACTGATCCATATCCCTAAGAAGAGCTTGGAAGGAGAAAGAAACACACATAGTGGTGGTTACCAGAAGTATAAGTACCTATAAACTGCCCTTTCCATTTTAATGATGAACGAACAGGCATTAATTGGTGATAACTGTCATCCAGCTTTACACTTTCATACAGGGTTACATACATTGCTTATAGTCAGAAGGAACATTTATGAAAGCATTATTGATAATTATGTAATAAAACTTCTTAGCTGCTGGCGTTTTTACAAAATTTTGCATTGAATATTACTCTCATGCAACACAAAGGTTGTGTCTGTGTGCAGTGTGTGTGCAGGGCATGTGGTGGTAGAGAGGGAAGGAGTACTGATGGCACTGCTGATCCCCTGTACCTTCCTTTTGCTGGGACAACAGACCCAAACAGCACAACTATTATGAACACCTACACAATTATCAAAGTGAGAAGGGGCTCATTGGCTTCCATTCGACAACGTGTGATGCTGATAAGCACACACATCTTTGGAGGACTCAGGGACCTGCCACTTTAAAAGGAAGCTCAGGCTCAGGTTATGCTGAGGTGTTACTGAGTTCGTCTGTCCTAGGATTTTGTTTAAATTAAGTAATTGCGGAAGTTGGCAGAAAGCAGCCACGGGGGGTGGAGTTGCACAAGAACCCATCTGTGTGTTTACTTGGGTGTGGGGACTCGTGTTTGCTCTTTATTTCATAGAATTGAAAAGATTTAATAAATTATGCGTGTCACTTGGAGTAACAAATCCTCTACAACTTGAACTCTTCCATCACAAACTATTCCTTGGGAAGGCATTACTCCTTCACATTGATCTATCCCGACCTGAAGGAGAGGCTGTGCTTTTGTGACCATCTCATGGATGCTTCTCATCCCCCATAACCTCTGTTATTCCTGGAAAGGAAGGAACCCACTGAGCCAGTGTATTGGTTTATTGGTTTATTTCCCACAAACGCTTGCCATCAGTAGCTGGGCTGCAGGCAAACAGCACACTGTTTGCTTTGTCCCTACAAGCCTTGGGTGAGACACGTTCTGCATGTTAGGATTTAATCACTGGTGGCAGTGTATTGGTTTTGTTGTACACATAGCTTCTCTCTTCTGTTTCTCTTTTCATAGAATCATAGAATTATAGAATCATTCAGGTTGGAAAAGACTTCGAAGATCATCCAATCCAACACCTACCACCAATACTGCCCACTGACCACATTCCTCAGTGCCACGTGTACACGTCTCTTGAACACCTCCAGGGATGGTGACTCGACCACCTCCCTGGGCAGCCTGTGCCAATGCACTACCTCTTTTTTTGAGAACTGTTTACTAATATCCAACCTGAACCTTCCCTGGTGCAACATGAGGCCATCACCTCTCATTCTATCCCTGTTACTCTGGAGAAGAGGCTGACCCCCACTTCACCACAACCTCCTTTTGGCAGCTGTAGAGTACAATAAGGTCTCCCCTGAGCCTCCTCTTCTGAACAATGCCAGTTCCCTCAGTCACTCCCCATAAGACTTGTGCTCCAAACCCCTGACAGCTTTGTTGACCTTCTCGGGATACATCCCAGGTCCTTGCTGTCCTTCTTGTTGCAAGGCACCCCAAAATGAACACAGTACTCAAGGTTTTCTACTACCGATGCTGGTACATAATTAAGCATACATGAGTTACCTTATTCACTGAAATAAAACAACCGATGCTGCAGAAAATCTGCTGTCACACTCCCCGTGTGCCCTGAAAGAGTGGTGGTTCTGACAGCTGGGAGCTGCCAAAACAGAAGCTGCTCAAGCAGATGCTCCTGGAGAGCTCATGTACCTACCAAGCTCCAGGCAGTGCTGGCAGGGCCTCCCCTCCATGATGCATTTCAAGCCTCTACACTCCCATTCCCACTACTCCTCCCAAGGATCTCTTCCAGTAACTTTCTCATCTTCTAGTTGGAGGCCATCTATTCTTTACCACCTTCAATGTGTTAAGGTTGGTACTGTCCTGTGCTACCAGTGCCCTTTAATTGAAATTGTTCTGTTTGATTCCTGGTAGCCACTTCCTTGAGGAATACCTCCTCCACTCTGCACTGAGCAGACCCAGGACTCCTCCTATGGCTGACTTCCTGTGCTCTCAGTCTTCTTGGGGGCCTTTCCCATTACCCATGAGCCTGCTGCCATGAGGCCATGCCCACAAGACCCACCACCCGTTCTGCAGCACCCCCTTCATCTCCTCTGTCTGGAGGTGCCTTTTATCGGTGTCCAGTTGTTTCTCACTGCCATGCCTGCAGACCTCGCTGCCCAGCCACCACCTCCTGCTGAGGAGCTCCCAGACCTCTACAAACTTTGTACTAACACACCCATTTCTGCCATTCCACTTCTCCAGTTTCATGTCCCACCCAAAATATCTAGTTCTGCCAAATGAAATGCCATTCATGGTCCAGATTACATCTAGGAAGCGACTCTCCTGTAGATGCATTCCTGGTAGCTTGTTTCCTCCCCAGTAATCACAAAATCACCAAAATTGGAAAAGAACTCTAAGATCATTCGATCCAACCGTCCACCTACTGCCAATATTTTCCCCACTAAACAACATCCTTTAATACAACATCTAAACATTTCCTGAACAACTACAGGGACAGTGACTTCCCCACCTCCCTCGGGAGCCTGTTCCAATACCTCACCACTCTTTCGGAGGAGAATTTTTTCCTAATATCCAACCTGAATCTCCCCTAGCGCAACTTGAGGCCGTTCCTTCTTGTCCTATCACTAGTGATGTGGGAAAATGTAATCACAGAATCATTAAGGTTGGAAAAGACCTCCAGTTAATGTTGGGATCTCAGGGCAAACCAGCGTCAGAAGGTAGAAAATGTGGCTCATGTCCATAAATATGAAGGCAGATTGGACAAATATTGTATTTTTATCTATTGTTACTGTCACATGTAGCAGAAGTATTTTGGCTACAAAGTTCTTAATCTGTAAGTCTCAGACTATTTCAGAAAACTTCTTCACAAAGAGCTGAAGTCTGGTGATTGCCAACTCAACCCAAAGTCCTTCCACGCAGATCGCTTTGTGTCCTTACTCTGACCAGACCTATGGTTGTATGAAATGACCACCGAACCACCTGCTCTCCTCAGGTTCCCAGAACAGCTCAAAAAGCTGCTGAGAACTGGGAGTTGTTTGCAAGGCACTGGGAAGAGGGAGAGGCCAACGAGTGTTCAGTACCGCTCCACTCAGCTGCCACCCACTGCAGAGTGAGAAGGACTGCAGAAAATAGCAACAGCCACTGTGGGTTCAGTTATGAATCATGGGAGGGACCTTTCTGTATCTGGTGACTCGGTGCTATGGCGACAAAAGCTCCACAAACACTTCACAGAGAGTAAGGTCATGTGTTTTCTGTTACTTCTCACGTAGGGTAGTGCTGCCTGGGAATAACCCGTGGCGGTGAATTCCTTTGAGTTGGTCCTTTTTCAACACTGCTCTTCTAGAATATGTTTTGCTGGGGTGAGTCTCTCACCCTATTTCAGATGTCATCTCTGATCCACTTTATCTGGTGGCTCCTTATTGCTAGTTACCTATGAACAACACAGCCCTTGTCATATTCTCTGGAGTCCCCATATCCGCCCTGAAGTAGCGTCAAACTTTGTACAGAGCCTAAATAGCAGCTGGAGCCACCGTGCCTTGTAACATGCAGGGGCTGACTCACTGCAAGCTTCATGCACGGGTGGGATGATGGCCCTTCATGTCAGTGTGTACTTCCAAACAGGACAAGAGGTCACTATGACCGCACAGCTGAAGTGAGAAGGGTGACTCCCAAACCATCCTCTTCTTCACCCCTTTAGGTGTCCATGTAGAAAAGCATTTGGCACACTGGCTGTTCTTCCAATCTTTCCAAATTCTTCATATCACATTTGTTCCTGAGTCACCTTTAATCAATGCCACTCTTCAAATGTTTACAACGGCTCTGGCGGCTGTGCTGATATAGCAGAGAGCAGCAGTAACCAAATGGAAAGATTAAATTCCTTGTGTTCACACTCCTAAAAAAAATGAAGGGTGAAGAAATGCTCTTTCATTGCCCCCGAGGTTGGTCTCTCTACAAGTACATTTCCCATTTCCAGACACCAGAGGAGCACAGAGTTCAGTGCTGACCACAGCTCAGCCTCTCCATGCAGCTCTCTTTGACATTAACAAGGGGTGCTACTGGGACAAAGTGATTTTTCTAGGTAACTGTCACATCCTGCAGACATTCAAACAAACAAACAAAAACCATAATGCTCTGGATGTCAAAAGTAGAAAGGAGTTCAACTGGCGATCAGACAACTTGGCAAAACACGCTGACTTAGAGGTTCGAAATGTCAAGGTGGATTCAAGCTCCAGCTGAGGAAGTCTGGGGCAGACTAGGAGATGTGGGGAAGGGAATGGCACTGTTCACTTCTTGCCTCGGTGCCTGGATGCCTTTTATTTTCTTTCCCTCATCAACACAGTTGACATGATGACTTAGGCCCCTTTCTGGAGCAAGCACACCATGCATTTAATACAGGCTCTTCACGTGCATGCATGGTCAGTTTTCACTCCCTACACCTTTATCCACATTGCCCCCAGCCCGCCTGCCCCACAGTTACATGATGAGGGGAGGTGAGGGGCTGGGATGCTATCAGTACGGCCCACTGGTGGGTGCAGGGTCCCCACAGGTGGTGCTGGGTGGTGTCAGCAGGGGGGGCCTCCTGTTAAACTCTGCTGGCATTGGGTTGAGGATAGCAGCATCAGTCCTTGCCTCGGTGCTACTGTGATGCTTGCTTGTGGTATGAGGAGCTTGGGAGAAGTAATACGAACCCTGCTGTTGTGTCAGACTTAATGACCACTTATTGGCCCATGCACTGTTGAGCAAAGAGACTCCCTCTTAATGAAGGTCAGAGTAAATAACAGTGTACAAATGATGTTTAATGGCTCAAAGTGATGCTGAGTCCTTTAAGATCAAGGTAAATGGTCGCTAATTATACTTGGATTTCTTCTTGCTCAAATGAGATTGACCAGTACACCACGAATCAAGTCCTTTCAGCCAGAGAAGATATTTATAAGTAAAAAATACACAATTTTTATTGAAAATGAAAAAAAAATACTTTGTCATCTTTGTGAAATAAAGGTTACAATGAAAGACTGTGTGGATAAATAAATACAGATCAGTAATATGCATGTAACTAGTAACTTACTATCCGTGTCTCCTCTGGCTAGGAAGATGGGACACACTACTCTAATTCTGCAGGTGGAACTACAGAGACCAGGAAGAAGGATGTGGCTTCTCCAGTCACACAATGGCTTGCTTGTCAAGTACGAAATACCTGAGTGGAAATACACAAACACAAAAGCCTGTTCATAAATGGGAATAAAATGCGAAAAGAATCAGCAAATTTTTCTGTTCCTATAACAGAAGGGTTACCTGTTGTGAGGATGAAGTATCAAATGTTGTATAACACCTGCCACATCCTTGACAGTCACCATCACTTATCACGCTGGTTCCCCCTGGGGGACACTGGAGGGGCTGTCGGCAGAAGCTGGAATCGGGGCTGTTTGTCAAGGAACGGTTTTATTTGATAAACTCGTTGGCACTTGGATTCCTGCTAATGGCAGAACTGAGGAATGAGCACATCAGCAGCGTAACCGTTTCTAAGCTGACTGCCAAATGGTTTCCCCGTTTTGCATTTATACTGTGCCAAGGGAGCTTCTCAGACCTGCTATAAGCCCTTCCTTTACTCTCCTATTGCTGGACCATGAAAAAAAGAGGCAGCTGCTTCCCCCAGTCTCTTTGTCAGCTCGCCTTCTATCCCACTATTTACCTTACTTCTTTACCTTGCAAACAGCTCACCTCTCGGAGCCTGAGCTAAGCCCAGCCCTTTTGTGCCCTGCAGTCATCGCTCCATCTTTAGGGGAAAGCTGATTCCCAGGAATGCTGTGCATGCACATACCTATCTGGGCGCTGCACCCACACCTGCCCACCCGCTAACCCAGCGCCCGCTGGCCCTCGCAGCCACATTCCAGCCAGCAGAGCGATTGCTCGCTAATTGTTACCTGTCAAACAGGTAAATGAGGCTCTTGGGCCAAGTCCAAACAAGCACATATTCCCACCAAATCCTAAATTTGCAAAACTTTAACCTTTCTGCAGCCCCACTGATTTTCACTGAGACTGATCAGAAAGTATGACGGGTGGAAAAAAAGCTCAGCGTTCGGCTATTTGTTGTGACGAAGCTCTCCTACACGTCGATACCTGCAGCAGGGCACAGCAGGCACCCAATGCACACGGTGTGTGCGACGGCTCCCACACCACGCGAGCGGCCTTCCAAGATCACAGCATGCTATGCTGATCCCAAAACGGCATCTGGATGGCGAAGGGATTAACATCTACAAACTCTAGGGGCTGGAAAAGTGAGTGTGCATGCAGCCTGGAGCCACGTGGGAGGGCTGCGAACTGGCATTTCCTGCTCCATGCACCCAGTTCAGACTTGCTCTGCTGACTGCAGCAAGAGGGTCTGTGCTCCCGGGCGCAGGCAGCGGCCTGTTACGGTCGCACAGTCTGTGAAGATGGCTGATGTTAGCTTCCTGAAAGGCCACAGAGGGAAAACGGTGCCAACCAAGCTGCTTCCGCCTAACGCTCACTCCCCGTGTCTACCTCTGCAGAACAGACGTTGCCCCGCAGCAGCATTCACAAGGAGGCAGCCTGCTCTTGTGGTAATATATTTCACGTGCATCCACGTCAAAGTGCATTAAAAGAAAACCCCACAGCTACAAATCCCATTAAAAACAGTGCAGGTGTCACTGCTTTTCTGTGCCCCTCTCTTGCAGGCTCCTGGCTCGGACTGCAGGCTCTCTGTGACCAGGGCCGTGGTACCACACATCCCCACACACGTGACACCACCTGACGGCACTTCTGAGCCCGTAATGTGACAGCTTCACCTGCGTGGTGCATTGAGTCCCTCAGCTGTCAGGGCCTACCCGACAAAGAGAGAGGGGAGAGTAAGTGGTAGAAACCAGTTGTTATTGGTAATAACAGAAACATGATCTCCCCAGCAAGATGGTAATCTTTCCCCACAAAGGCTGCAGATACCTCCATGGTACACCTGATTCTGACCCGTCTCTCACCTCAACTTTATCCCAGTTATTCCAGAATGCTTGGATCTCCCAGGCATTGCCTCAGACTGTAGGCGAATTCTACATTGGAAGTAACCTGGCAAAAGCAGTCATTACACCACTGGAAAAGCAAATGGGTTTTTAGACTTTATTTGAAGATGCATTTAAATATATGTTTTTCAACTTAACAGAAGCTCTGGAATGAGAACTGTTTTTTGGAACAGGCTAATGCTTTGAACTGATTTTTATTTTTTCTTAGCTGACATGAGAACAGCTGTACTTGCACAGCTTCAGCTCATCCCAGCACCTTCCCTAAATGACACAAGATTTGCTCAGAGGAGATCCTGAGAGTTACAGCTGTGGTACCAGGTTTGAAGGAGCTGAGCTGAGCTCTGGGCTCCTGCAGACCCAGTGTGTCACCCACAGATTCCTACAGAAATTAGGAACTCCTCTGCAGTTTCTTCTCTATGATTCTCTCCTTCTTTTTGATTTGGGATTCCTCCTTTTTCAATTCACAGCGGGATTAAGCAAGCTGTCTGATCTGCTCCTTGCTCCTTGCCAGGCTCTGGCACAGAGTGCCTTCCAGCCTGCAGCCCTGTCACTGGGTTCCTATGCTGCATGGGTTGCTGCACTCTGTATCTTCAAGCTTCTACTGTCCAGGAGTGCCTGAAATCATTACTAATGGTTCCCGAAGGTATTTTGCTTAAGATAAAAGGGAAGATACCTTAAAAGATACAAAGCACTTCTGCTTAAAAAACACTGTGTGAAAGCTGACAGCTGTATTATTACTAATACCCACCTAGAACCAGTTAGAAATAGCTTGGCCAAAAAATATTATTCCTGTTTTGACAAACGTACTGAACGATGAGCATGATTTCAGGAATCTGCTGCTCCACAAAGGCTATTAGGACTCCTAGAGCAGCTGGGTTCTCTGGGCTGCCCTGCAAGATGGGCAGCTTATCCACAGCAGAGGTGGCTGCCCAGGGCTGTTGTCTCTCTTTTCCCTAAGGATTTTGTGAGGGAGCAAAATAGTTTGAAGTCTGAGGTTTCTTTCAGACCTGTAGAAGAACTTCTATGCCTAAAAGTCTGTTTGCTTTTCCCAATCTTCTTCCCAGATCATTACTTCTACAACATAGCTGCTATATGAAGGGGGTCCTCTTCCTTTGTTAGCTCTCATTGGGGAGACTGTGGATGACTGTGAGGGTTGGCCTCTTCTCCCATGTAATAGTGACAGGACAAGAGGTAATGGCCTTAAGTTGTACTGGAGAGTGGGGATCCAGATTGGATATGAAGACAAATTTCTTCTCAGAAAGAGTGGTGAGGCAGTGGCACAGGCTGCCCAGGGAGGTGGTGGAGTCACTGTCCCTGAAAGTGGTGGAAGAACCGTGGAGATGTGGCACTGAAGGACATGGTCAGCGGGCATGGGTTGGCTGTAGGACTGGATGATCTCAGTGGTCCCTTCCAACCTAAACGATTCTATGATTTAGCTTTTTCTCAGCAGCTGAAGAAGAGAGTTAGCTGTCTGGAAGGCTGGTCAACTGGAGGATTAAGGAAACCAGGCTACAAGTGCCCATCTGCTGATTGCCAGAAGAGCTGACTTAGGCCATCAGCCCACGCACTGCAAGTTACTGCCTACCAGCATGGGTTCTTCACATTACCCACTTCTGACTCCAGCTTGTGCAAAACAGCATTACTCAGAGCTGGTAACACAGGAAAAAAAAGCTTTCTAGCTCCTCTAAAGCTCACAAGTGAACCTCCCTGCTATTGCTACTTGGTGTCTTTGTGAAGTGCAATACCGGTTGATTTAATTGAGAGGGTGTGTAACTGTAAATACAGCTTTAAATTGTTGTTTAAGATTTGAAAAAGCAAATGTGAGAACAAGAAAACATGCTCTTCCATAAAGTTCCAAAACCAGCATTCCCGAATGAAAGTATGAATGAAGGATTCTCACCAGTGGAAAATAATTGAGCAAAATAGATGCAACCCTCATTAAACAAAGCCCTGATTAGTTCAGTGGTACCAGTGATGCAACTGATTTGTACCATTTTGCAAATCTTTCTTTTTCCACAGGCTGAGCCCTTGGGTTCACGTAACACAGGCAAGTTATTTGAAGAACTCTTTGATTCTTCAGTTGTACATCAAGGAACAGCTTGAGAGGGAACTACTGAGATGCTGACAGATGGATTATATGTTTTTTAAATGTCATGATTCTAAAGCACCGTGCAAGGAAGGGGCTGTGACTGCCTGTGTGCACTCACTGCAGAGTCCAAAGCAGGGTTTGAGGCTCAGGGTCTGCAGACTGTGTTCTCTCACCTGCTGCAAACACGACATGAAAGAGGTAAAAAGTCATAAAACAAAACTTGTGCATGTGTTAAAAAGGGATGGGAAAGAGAACTCAGGCCTCAAACACCTTTATGTTTGCTGTGGCTAAAGACACAGCAAGCATCTCTGACACTGCTTCTGTGCATTATGGGGGACTTCGTTACATTGCTAACACTATGTTATCTTCCTACCATCACACTGCCTGCTGCCCACAGCAGTTTCTTTATTGCTGGTATCAAGGGCAAGAACTGATTAGACGGGCAGAGGTGCCTGTGCTCGGGGTGAGATAGTTCCTAGCCACTAATTAGCCGCTAATCCCGTGCACCGAGGTTCCCACAGACCGTGAGGGCTTCCTTGGGTGACTTTTCAATTAGCATCATAACATCCCGAGCTTTGAATGCTTTGTGTATATTTATCTTTGCTCGCCATTGTCAGGGCCAACGAACGGGAATTAAACCAATTTAAGAGCATCTGTCTATTATTTGGCAGCTATTAGCCTAAATTGACATAATCCTCCTCCCTGCTGAGAGATAGATACATTTATATTAACCTCGGTGTGACTTGCTAGGATTATTCTACAGAACATGCGAGAAATCGTGCAGATACCGCTAGGAAAGTGGAATTTTATCACGTACAGGAGACAAGTGCCCTTATAGCACCGCTAGCGGCAGCAAGCTGGGCTGGCCGAGGCAGGCAAGCGTTGCTACTGGCTACTGCCCCATCGCTGCTGGAATGTTAACGACCGCTTTGTCATACCGAGGGCACCTAACAGCCATCCCACCCAGCTCAATAGGCACCGCAGCCCAACTCCGTTCAACGCAGCCCAGGGCTGCGGCCGGTGCAATTCCCTGCATTAATGGGCACTCTCTGAGCAGAGGCACTTCAAAGCATCCTCCTCAGGCTCAAAAGGCTCTCCCCATCTCAGTACGATGGGCTGTTTACACTGAGGTAATTGTCGTGTGTGTAACTGGCCTGAGAAGATGCTCAGATAACCTCGGTCTCCCTTCCCCTCTCTCAGCCTTGTTTGGAAGTTCTGGAACCCAAAGGGAACAACAGAGAGGAAATCATGCCTACCTGCCCCCATCTTGCCAGGCTGGGTTCTGAGGGCCAAAGCATCTTCTTTAACCCCAGGCACAGCCAACAGAGCTTGAGCCAGCCCTGCAATCACTTCCAAAGCTCAGAACAGTGATGCAGTGCAAAGGGCAACTCAGAACGACTGACATTCTTCATAGCACTGTCATAAAAACCAGGAACGTCTCCTATACACACATCTCTTGAAGGAAAGATGGCCATTTAACCTGCAATGTAGAAAATACCTTCTTGATTGGACAGCTGCTCTCATTCATAGACTTCCATGAAACTCGGTGGCTTCACTGGGACTACGGCAATGCAGTGCTGTGCACCTGCAGAAATTCACTGCTACTCCAGCCGCTGGAGGAGGCTGACAGGCTCAAAGAAACAGCTGCTGCAAGAGCCGTGGGTGATGCTATGTCTCTGCAATGCCAAGAGACATCACACGAGGCAGCCACATGTCAGACTCCAAGAGAAGAACTGGGCTGGGCGAATGCTGCAATTAATTTCTCATGCTTACACCTGTAAGGCTTTCATTCATCCCAAACAGAAAAGACTGCTTTTCGTGAGCTTTCACAACTGCTAAAACTCAAAGCTAAAACTGAGTTACTGCAAAAAGAGGTGAGTCTGCCTACAACTCCTGTTCTCTTGCTTTTGTTGTTTCCATCACTCCCACAGTTTGGGAATGGAGTTTTAAAAGGTCAAACCAGCCTACTTACTTCCCTGAAAACTAACCCTATTGAAAGCAAAGACAAAACAGCTGTCTGGAGGGTGAAAGAGCAAGGTTGCTGATCTGACAGAAGAGGAAAGAAATGCCTTATCTAGGGTAAGGAGAAAGCTCCTTTGGGCAGTCACATATTCTTCCACTAAGCTAAGTCAACCAGTGGCAACTGGAATGCTTTCAACCTGTTAGACCTCCCAGAAAAACCCATGCTTTGTTCAACTTCATTGTAAGAAGGGGGGTTGAAGCATATTGTTACCAAGACATTCTCATCCCTTACCTTACAAACAAGGTTGCAGGACAGCCAGGATGACAGGACCTTCTGACATTCTTCTATGTGCTGCTTTTTTCTCAAGTTGCTGCATGTTCATTACTGTGACCTTGAGGCTATCAGGGAAATCCCCATTACTTCCTGCTCCACTGTGCTGTGATGCCAAGCTCAGTGCTCACTGCCTACACTTCATACAGGAGAGAAATAAAGATGAGAAAGTAAAACCTTGGTGGGGATGGACTCCATTCTGCCTGGGTTAAGACCTTTCCTTGAAGCCAACTACAACATTGCATCATCAGCTGTCCTGTGTAAATACTGGTGTCAGCTCAGAGTTATCCGTGCAACCTTTAAATTCAACCTGTGTAGCACAGAGGCTAAATCAATTGCTCTGATAAGACAAGATGAAGGCATTTGCATTTAAAATCCTACATTTCACATGTGGGTTGTCTATTTAGTGAGCACTGTTCATTCTGAATTCTTTCCCTTTGCACTCTATCTTTGTCTTTGCTATTGATTTAAGCTAAAAAGGGCAAGGCCAGGCTGAAAAAGGCACTATGCACTCTCTGAGGCATTGTCTGGGAGGCTACAGGAGGCTGAGGCAGTGCTTTCAGAGAGCAGTCAGTTAGGGCTAAGGATCTACAAGGCACTCAATGCTCTGGCGCTACTTTGTCAAAACATGTAGGCTCTGCCTGTACAGTTTAAAAATAAATGCATTCTAAACTGAAGAACTTGCTGGTTTCATGGGAATGCAGGCATACTTTCAAGGAGTTGGGCTGAAGCATTTAGCAAACTACCTGTCTGCTTCTGGCACCAGCCTGAGAGATGGGCAAGGGCTAATAAATTCCTAGTTCTGCAGATTCTTCACAAAACCTTTGGCAAAGTGTGTTGCTCAAAAACCTCACGTACAAAATGGAGAGGTGCTGTACCTACCTCCTCATATCTGCCTTGTGCTCCTCCTTTGAGAGCTCCACAGGTCAGGAACTGTCATGGACAGCTGGTATCTGGGTCAGAACTTGAGCAACTTCACCAAAGCTTGAGCAACTTCATCCTGATACCAACCCTTGTCTCTGCCCCAGGGCACAGAGCCTGGAGGCTGTCAGTCTGGCCTCCCTCTCATACAGGTTTACTGGAATGACACAGCCAAAGCGTATGAGTTTTGCCTCCCTTTCCAGGCAGCTCAACTGTGGTATTAATTAGGAGTGATTTATACTCCCAGCAATGGTAAAGCAGAGCTTGTCTTCCCCGGAGAAGTTCTAGTAATGAGAGCGAAGTTTACAGTGAAATAAAGAGCAACACACATATCTTACTCCCTCCCTACCCTGCAGGGCTATTGCTCATGTGTGGGAGCTCAAGAAAAAAGTACTAAAGAAACGTAAATGTAAATCTGCTTGCTTTGCCCCTCACACCCAAGCACACCATATAAACAAACAGCCATTGCCAGATACTCTGTTTTCTAGTCAAATAAAGAGAAACAAATACTCAGCATCTCTGTGGCTGGAGCCATACAAAACTTCTTCACCTTGCTTAGGAAGAAGCTAAGATTTCCATCCACTTGGGAAAAAGGAAAAGAAATAAAAATGTAAAGAAAAAACACAGCTGTTGTAAATCCTGCTATTAAAAAAGGGACTCAGAGAAACAAAGGTAAGGTTAAAAAGCAGCATATGCCACAGTCATGGGACGCAGCCAAAGGAGACTGAATAAGCTCCTAACTCCAATCTGTTAAAATACAATATGAAAATCAATACTGGGTTGGGCAGCATAATAATGCACACAGGTAACAGTGATAGTGTGAAAGCAAAATCAGGTACAAAAGAACTTGGGACCTGCATGTCTCAGTATGCTCCACGAGCCCGGCTCCCGGTCTGTCTCTCCCAGCACAACAGCACAGGACAGGACAGAGCAGTCAGCACACCTCCCTGCCTGGCAGGGCAGCTCCACCAGCAGAAATCTACTTTCACAGCAGAGACTTAGCAGTGATAAAGCAGGCTTGTAGGTGCATGCAGGGCATGTGTGCTGTACAAACATGGTATTGCTGAGATGCTGCGCCTGATAGCGCAGGCTGATGGAGTGACTGCACGGATCTACAACTGGGGGCTTCCCCATGCTACAACCTGAGCGATCCTGAGGCTCCTGAGCAATGAAGAACCAAACCCAGACAGCAGAGAAGGACAAAGATTATGCTGATAAGCTCTAAGCCTACACTGCCCCAAAGCCTGATGGAGTAGCACTACATACTCACAATACTGCCTTTATATTTCTGAACAAGATCAGTAGGACTGCTTTCTTCTGAAATACTGCTCTATTTCAAAAAAGAATGGCAGCAAATAGCAGAAGGACTTATGCCTATCCGTAAAGGTGCTTTAACAGGAACAGAGACACGTGGCCTAGTGACCCTTCCATAGAACAAGGCACAGCAGAGATCTCTTGGCTCCAGCAGGGGCTCCTTTTGTGCCAGCAGACCATCCTCTTTGCCCTCTGCCACAGGGACAACTGAGCAGCAGCCTCAGGGCGATCAGCCTCCCCTCTCCTCAGCAAGCCTGGAAAGCTGCCTTTTCCATTCCCTGTGATTCTTAAAGCACCTTGCTACTTGATTAAGGCATCAATTTATTTTGAGGAAGAAACACATTGCTTCTAAGCAAATTCAAAACTTTGTTTCCAGCTCCCATTACCCTGATCCGAAGTGTTTCTGTGGAATCTCTGTGCTGAATTGACTCTAGTTCCCGAATGTGGGAAAAGTAAACAAGCAATTGTTTATATGCCATCCTTCACCTTCTGCGCATTGGAACACCAGAGCCTATTTTAGGACATACTGTTACAGTAAGAAGAGATGCACTCTTCATCAGCTTTTGACGGCCTCTTATTGCAGGCTGGGGTGACAGATCTGTGGAGCTTCTCTGTTTTTTAAAAACACTCAACTGATGCAGAGACATATGAAGCTCTCAGAGATGTGATCAGCATGTGAAAACCTATTTCAGATTCCTTTCAAATGATGCTCTGCAAATCATAATGATTCAAGACAGACTGATGAGGGCTAGGAGCAGAAGCCCCAGCAGGCAATGCAGAGTGCCATTCCTGCTCCCCTGTGAGAGCTCTTCAGCCAGGAGCAACCATTCATCCAATTGTTTGTTCAACTGTGTCATTGAAAAAAAAGAAAAAGAAGCTTTTAATTATGAAAAAAAAGATGGCTTTCAAAGTACTACTGCTGACAGCCAACCAAAAAAACCCAACCCCACAACAAACTACGAGTGTTCAATGAGTAATTCAAGGGAAAAAAAAAAAAAGGATAGACAACTATTAGGACAATTTTCTTCTGACATTCCTCAGGAACTCTTCACAACATAAACAAACTATAAGCATTTCATCTTTCTCCCCAAATAGCTCAAGTCAGGATTACTCAAGATGTGTCTGTGAAGCTGCAGATTTGTTCTGTGATGATGGAGAGATCCTGGTGACTACCACAAGAAGTGAGACAAAGCATCACAAAAATGCACTCGATATTCTTCTCAGAGATCAGGTTATTTATGTCCCACAGCTCTACCCCATTGTGACACAGTATCCATTTCAGCTTAATTAAGGTATTTATAAGTCCCAGGTCCCACAGCACATCAAGCTGTCTTCCAGAGATGTTTTCTTATTCTTTTTCAGGCAGAGTTTTTCACTAAAAGCAAAACCACAGCCATTAGGTGACCTAACCGTAGTTTCCCCTTGTCTCAAAATGCTTGGCTGAATCACTGGAAAATACTATCAGAGATCAAAGCATCTGCAGAAAAGTTATCCCTGTGTATTACATTCTGTTGAATTGGTTTCAAACCGGTGAGTAATCTTTATGAAATGGATTGGTACTGCTAATCAAGAAGCTAATATTCCAATCTATTGTCAGACTTAGCTACCTCCTCAGACGTCTCCATGTCTCAACCCAGAAAGGAGTGCCACACTCTGAGGTATTTTCACCACTAAAAATGATTTCTGTTTTAAGTTGAAACAAGGTTCTGTGAGCAATACTGCCTAAGACAGGCATTGCAGATATGTAGGCTATTTACATAATAACTCTGGCATCTTTCAGAATCATGAACTCTACACTCATAATGAGCAAATAAAGCCCCCCCTTTTCTTCTTACATGGTTCCGTGTTGCTCTGAGGGCTGTATAAGACATGCAGATCAGCATTTCAGATAGAAGTGGCACGTGTAGCCCGATGCCTTACGCTGTGGCCAGAAGTGCTTGATCTTAGAATCATAGAATGGCCTGGGTTGAAAAGGACCTCAAAGACAATCTAGTTTCAACTCTTCTGCCCTGGGCAGGGTCACCAACCACTAGACCAGGTTGCCCAGAGCCACATGTTCCATGGTCCTCTGTGCTGCTCAACTGCTGTTGCCATGCATGATGTGAAGGCATTGGAGAGCTCCAGGTTCTTATAGAGATCCCAGCTGAGCTGTCTGGGAAGCACAACAGGCAGTTTCCAGGCAGCAGGTAGTTGCCACTAGTCACAGAGCCTTCCATTCTGATGGCACTTCCATAGTTTCATTGTGAAACAATACAAGTAACCCATTGTTACGATTTTGGTTACTTAGGATTACTTTCTTTACGTTAAATGTTAATAGTGTAGCATAATCCATTATCAGAACATACAAATGATCCATTTGGAGTATAGGGGAGCTGCGCTAAAATCTATTTATTTTCAGTTATGTGATGGCATCGTTGAAGTCAGTTGAAGATCAAGGTCTGTACAAATTCCAGTAAATATAGTTTCATATAGAAGATAACTACAAAGGGAGGGCTATGGAGAGGATTAACAGTAAATGCATTACAAAATTAGTAGGTAGGTGGTTGGCTTTGAACTTACTGCAAGAGAGCATTTTATATCAACAGCCATCAATGACAGAGAAACACACAAATAAAAATACGTGGTAATCACTGCCTACTGCAAACACTTGTTTTCAAACATCTGCGCTCTCACTGAGCTGCCTTACAACGCTGTTTTGACATAAATACTTCTCTAACATCTTTTATCACACAGACTTCTTTTAATAGTCTTCTGAAAGATATTTTAGGTACTTACTGCAATTAGTAAGCTGAGCTGAACCTTGTTTGTGCACCCTACTTCCTCTGCCCAGTGCTGGCAAGTCCAAACAGCGCTGATGCTGGCTGCTATGGAACACATCACGTAAACACGAGGTAGATGGTTGAATTCTACACTGAATCCTTACAATAACAAGCAAAAAAAAAAAAAAACCAAAAAAAAACAAAAAAACACACACCCTCCTAGCTTCTATACATAGAAGTAAACAGCATGAAAAAAATGACCTGCTCTTTTAGATTGTTCCTGTACACTCCAAAGACAACTCCTAGACTTATAAAAATATATTGCATGACCATTTTATTGTTGGCCTACACAGCCTTTATTCTACGAGAAGCAAGACTGGCCTGGCCTGAAATAATATTAGATGATTTTTTCAGTGACTAACAGATTATGGAGCTCATGAAGAATGAGCACTGGGCTGGATGAGACAGGACCTGTTTGACCTGCTCAGCTGGACGCTCACAATTGAATTCCAGTTTGCAGTCTGGAACAAAATGCTCATCCAGAAAATGATGAGCCCAATACCTACTATCTACTTAAAATAATTTTCAGGGTATATTTTTCACCTAAGCAAGTCTCAACTAAATAAGCTGTCATCTTCAACAACGTCAAACCAAGAGTTCATTACTGCATTTTCCACTTCTGTTCCTTACTTTGACCTTGAACACTTCTGCAGCCACTGAGCAGTAATTCAGTCTCCCAACTGCTACATTGGAAGCAATCTCTCCTGAGAGCAAGCTGCTAAAGGCGGTTTTGTAGTTGACCCAGTACTAGAACAACAAATTCCATTGCAGTCTGAGTTACAGTTTGGGCTTGGTCCAGGACTGCAGATGGCATCAAATGCTGTTTTCTTCCCTGCAAAATCATACATCAGTAGAACTTGGGGAAGTTGACATTTTCAAAAGTGTTCATCACTGATCTTCCTTTCCTTTTTCCTATACATTTCATAGAGGGGAAAAAAAAAAAGAAAAAAAAAGAAAAAAAAAAGTGAAAGCCACACATCTAAATGTTTCCCTTAATTTCAAAAAAGTAAAAAGGGAAAGAGGATACCTGAATTGAGGTTAATCCTATTTACAGCACTCAATTAGGGTAGCCTTTTCAGGTCTCAAAAGCCTCTTTCAACATAATATCAATATTTGTGAATGAAATCTTATCATTTCTGCAGTTAGCAGTAAGGTTTCATTAATTTAAACTGTGATAGGACTCCCATTATTCCTGCAGAACAGCTCACAATACCTCATGATAATATGCCTGGGAGGCTCAACTTGTTTTAAAATGACATAGTAATTCTTTATACAAAACAACAGCACTATTTGTAGAGAAAAAATTACTCCTCTTCTCTGCTTTGCAAAGTCTTATAGCTTCCTCAAAATGTATTCTACAAACTGACTTATACAGGCATTGTTATGAATAACAGCCTACAAACTGAGAAGTTCAATACCAGTATCTGCTGTCCACAATTCAGGCCACATTAGCAACTTTTGATGGGATTTACAGATTGCATAATGATTCTTCTTTCCTGTGACTGAAAATGAAGGAAGACTAAGTAATACTTTGTGCTCAGTCCAAGCATCATTAATCTAGCTAAACTACATTTCTAATTCTGTTAAGTTAAAAACATAACGGGGAATCTGGCAGAGGGATTGGAACAGATGATCTTTTGAGGTCCCTTCCAATTCCTGACATTCTGTGATTCTGTGATCTTCACGGGACTACACCTGAGCTGACTTAAAACTGAGCTATACTGATTTGGCTTTATTTGGTTAGTTACCATGAATATAGGTAAGAGCTGAGAAATAGTAACAATCGTTTGTGCCTGACTGTGATCCAGTAATATCAAAGACTTTAAGGCGTCAACCTTGATTTCCACTGCACTGAAAGAGGATCGGATCTCCAGAACGCAATTCTATGTGGTTACAGACACATATGCATAGACAAACATACAGAGGTTGCTCTGAAAGTAATGTGTCCTATTTATTTCCACGGAAACTACAACACTGAATAACACTATTTGATAGAGCAAATTCCCAGCTACAAAACACTATTTTTCAACACAGCCACCACCCTTAGCTGATTCACATGGAATGAGCTGGTTGAGGCACTCTTCATTTTGTGGGCTGACAGCTGTGCATGGCCATCCAGAATGTGGCTTTCATGTCACTGCTGCCACTACTGAAACGCACCACCCGCCGCCTCCCTGTGCTCACATCCGCTGTCAGCAGGTGCCATTTTTCCTGCATGGAGGAATTTAATTCCACACCTCTGCTTCATATGGACTTTCATGTCAGACACCATTTGTCAGATTGCCCTTCTACTGCTATCTGTCACGTAGCAAAAACACGTAACGGATGTTGGTGGGAAAGTTCAGCCTCTACTGCCATACCAACATCCACATCTGATGCTGTGGGCCAACAAAACAAAACAAAACCAGAGAATCAAAAATAGGAGGCATTACTTTTGGAGCAGCCCCCACACTTGGTTATACAGATGCTTGTTTCCGTGGGCACCTTTCTGCTGTGTCCTCACCAGCAGAAGCGAAAGGTAGAAAAATCCCTCTGCTAGGCCACTAAAAATTCATTCAGCTACTTAACCTTCCCGCAAAGGTCACCATGCGATATAACGGCCTATTTTCCCTACACGCAGCACTATTCGTAAGGCAGAGGGAAGCCCGGGAAGATTCCCGAGGTGAGGAGCTGGGCGGGGTGCCGACCTGCCCCGCCGGGGGGACGGGGATCGAGCGCAGGCGCTTCCTTTCTTCTCTGGCTTCCGAGCTGACCCGAGGAGCCCTCGTCCTACACTTTCCCACCATCGGGTGACAGCCGCCGCCCCCAGAGCTCCATCCGTCCTTTTGGACATCGTGGCGCAGCGCGCGGTTGCTCCGCAGCTCCGCGGTGCTGAGCGCCGTGCGGGCGCCGTGCAGCTGCTGCGGGCGGCCGCGCCTCGACCGCCCGCGCTCAGACCGCGCAGCGACGGGAGCGGCACCGCCAAGCCCAGCCGCTCCCGGCTGAGACGGAACCGTCGGAAAAAGCCGACCGGCACAAAACCCCTCCAAACAAGCAACAAACGCCCCGTCCCACGAGGAGCCCGGCTGCCGACCGCTCCCCGAAGGCCGCGGCGCCCGCGGGGCCGTTCGTCGGCAGCCACCGAGCGGCCGCCACCTGCCCGAGTCCCGCCGCCCCGTCACGCCCGGCCGCCCGCGAGGCCTCCCCTCGGCCTCGGCCTCGGCCGTGCCGCCTGCCGGGGGGCCGCCACCCGAGCGCCAGCGCGGCGCCGGCCCTCCCCTCGCTCTCTCCCTTCGCTCGGCGGCGGCCCCGCGGTGCCTCCCGGCGCGGCGCGGCGCGTTACCTGGAGCTCGGCGGCGCCGTACCTGCGCGCCTCTTCCAATGGCAGCGCACCTGCCGCCCGCCCCGCCCAATCAGCGCGCGGCTCGGCCCTCTGCCCCGCTCCTTTAGTGAAAGAATCCGACGCCGCTCGGAAAGTTACCTGCGCGCGCCCGGCCCGGCCGCTCTCCGCGCCGCTCCCCACATGCGAGGGGGAGGGGGCTGGGGCCGTACCTGCGCGGCGCTGCGCTGCCCCGGCGGCGGAGCGGGGCCAGGGGGGCACGGCAAGCAGAATTACCTGTAGCTCTGGTTCTGCCGCGCCGGGCGTTCGCGCGCACCTTCACCTGCACAGACCTGAAAGTCCAGTTCCACCGGGGAGACCGAGCGCCGGGAAAGGGGAGCGAGTTCATTGGAGCAAACATGTCACAAGAGACGGACAAGTAAGTGCGCCCGGCGCGGCCCGACCGGTTGGATGTGTTCCGCCGGGCCGAGCAACGCGCGGCGCCCGCCGCTCCGCAGCGTGCGGATCCGGTTTGGTTTGTTTCGTTTCTGCCTGACTTTGGTCTTCTTTCGGGGGACGGTCTTCTCCCCCTCGCCTCCCCCCACCTCGAGGATCTCCACGCAAGGCTGCGGGCGCCGAAGGCACGGCCGTGCGCTGCCGCCCCGCACGGAGCACGAGGCGCCGCCGGCCCCGCGCCCTGCCGAGCCGAGCCGTGCCCAGCCGTGCCCGCGCCCTCGGCGCTCGCGAGAGCCGCCGGCCCGGCCTCGTGCCCGGCGGCCCCCGCTTTGTTCTTCCCCGTAAGGCCGCTGCCAGGGGACGCCCCGAGGCCCAGGCGCAGGAATGCGGCGCGGGCCATCTTGGTTGGGTGCGGGCGTCGGGCGGGTAACGGGCGGAAGATGGAGGCGGGAGGTAACGGGAGGGAAGATGGAGGCCGGGCACGGCGGGACGGCCGCTCGCTGCCGCCGGTCCGGCCGCGGAAGGTGCGAGGCGCTCCCGCCGCCTGCCCGAAGGGCCTTTGTGGCGCGGGAGGCGGAGAGGAGGGGCCTGCGGCGGGGCGAGCTGGGGAAGGGCGCGGGGCCGCCTGCGGGGACGGCGGGGTTACTGGCGGAGAGCGGCAGCGGGGCCGGCCGCTGTGCCACGGCGGCGGGGCGAGCTCGGCCGCGGCCTCCTCGAAGGTGGCCGCTGGCGTGAAGCGAGGCCGAATGGCGTCGGGAGCTGGGAAGGGAGCTTGGAGCTCCGTGAGCGGCGGCGGGAACGAACGCCTGCGGAGGCCCCGGTGAGGGCCGCGGTGATTGAAGTGCGAGGCGGGGAACGAGGACGGAGCTCCGAGGGCTGCCGCGGGGCGGGGAGGATCCGGGTGCGCAGAGAGCTGCGGGGCACGGACGCACATCCCTATGGGCGCAGCCCGGAGCTGTGGGAAGCTGCAGCAAGGCCTCACTCACGCGCGAGACTACAGGAATGAGGGCGAAAGTGCTTTTCCTCTGGGCCTCGACCGCAGCCGGCCCCAGGGCTGCCCTTCGTTGCGCAGCATGGCGTGGATGTAAGCTGCAGATGGTAACACCGGTCCCTCTGTTCTCGCTCCCCCGATGGTGTCACCACCGAAGGGACCCGCAGACAGCAGCACTGCCTCTGTGCGGGCGGGCCCGTGCTCTGCCTCTGGTTGGTTGGAGAGCTTGAGAAAACTTAGAGGTGAGGGTTTGGGAAGGAAATCAAAAGTAAAGAAATCTCCTGAGCTCTTTGTATACAAGTGTAATGTGAGAAGACAAATAGATGCATTTTTAGAAAGATGACCGAGTGGAATGAGGAATTAGATTAAACTGAGATGGTGCATGGGTAGGTTTTTTTTTTTTTTAAGGCTCTTATACCCTATGGAAACCTAATCCAGGGAGTATGACATTGTGCTCCTTCACATGGCCCATTCTTTATGTAAAAACAAACCTTCCCTACAGACAAGGCTGGACAGGGAAGTCGATTACTTAAAGGTCAGTTGATTTGTCAGTGTTGGGCATGTTTTCGTGCGGTTTGTGCTTGTAAAGCACTGCGGCAGGCAAGTGGTCGGCGAGGGACACAGAAGGCAGGAAGGGCCGTTGCAGTGCTGCCTGCATCATCCTCTTTAAGTGAGAGAGGTGGTGGTGGGGTGAGAATGCTAAAGAGCAGGTCACTGGATTCTAATGCTAACTGAGGGGGCTTGGAAGGGGAGATTATCCCTAAGATACTGTGCATATCTCCCATCTTTCCCCTTAGCTGTGCTGCTTAAGCTGGGTCTTGCCTGCTTTCTTCCTTAAACTCCTATCAGTTAGAGGAGATAAGACATGGTTTCACATGCATTTCTCAGAGGTAGTACTGACTTAAGCAGGCTGTGACCACTTGCTGCTGCCTCCCTTTGCCTCCCCCCCACCTCCCCAGCGATGTGAGTAGAGATGTTTGTGCAGCAGCAGAGCTGGCTAAGGGAGTGCTGGGCCAGCATAGCCTGGCCTGCCATTGGCAGATATTTTTGACTTCTTTTTGACCAGCTTCTTGTCGGTCTGGCTACATCATGCCATCCAGTGATGTTCTAGGGCATCAGAGGGAGGGCAGGCAAATGACTGGAGCTAAAGACAGAGCTGCTTAAGCTAGAAGCTCTGCAAAAGGAAATGTGGTTCGGCCTTTCTGTGAGTGTTCTGGAGACCCATGTGGCTGCCCGTTGTTACCCATTTCTCAGAGCTATTGCAAGGGAGCTTTGAGTTGGCAGGGCCAGGGAGCATCCTCTTGGCAAGGTGTCTGCATTCTTGGGTTCATGACTGCATTTGCAAGCTGAAGGTTGTGCTTGCTGTAGTGTGCAGAAACCATTAATCCCTCCAGAACGCAGCGAGAACTAATTTGGTGACCTTGGTACTTGTGAGATTTAACGGGGTGCTGGATTGCCGCTAGCCCTGTGAATGAGGAGCAACCCCACAGAGCTGTCCTATCTGTTCCCAGTCTTGGGTGAGTGGCAAGTCCCTCAGCGGCTGGCACTGATGCTGCATGATGAGTGGGGTTGGAAGCAAGCCTGAGCGTGCTGACCTTGTGGCTTCAGCCCCAGCTGGTCAGGCTGCAACATCTCCAGGATGCAGAGAAGCGACTGAGGACAGGGGGCAGATGGCGTTGGGGTGTGATCAGACCAATCATGTGAAGGAAGGCTGGGGGCAGCCCAGGTCTGCACTGAGCGTGTCCATGTGGGCAAATAACTGGGGAGGGTGATGCTGAATGTGGAAATAAGTTCAGACCTGCTCCCATGTGTCATTGGAAACATGTTCCCATCCTGCTTGCTGCTTGGCAGCGTGACTGAAGTCCATCTTGGACTCTTAACAGAGTAATTTTGTTCTGGTTTTGTGTTTCTTCCTGGATGTAGTTGCTACCTTCGTACTATTTAGCTTAAGCATACAGTACTGTAACAGCAAAGGGCATTTATGGTTTTCTGTGTGATTCTGGGAATTATACTTAATTCTTTCTTTGAGGGCCAAACCTATTCCCATCAACTCATGAGGAATAGCAATTAGGTTACAGACTGCTAATTTTTTTTTTTTTTTCCCACTGCTGAGAGTCTGGATAGAGAATCTATTGAGATGAGTTTTCCAGTGTTAATCATCAAGGAATGAATGGAGAAATGAGAATTTAGAAGTGTTAAAAGCTTGTACTTTTCAGATATCAGACTTGTTCTCATGGATATTCCCCATGAAATAACCTCTTTGCAGAGAAAGTGGAAAGTCAGCATGCAGAACATTGCAGAACTTAAAACCACAGCTTAGCTGAGTGGAGTAGGGGTACGAAATGGTTATTCAGTCCTGTAACACAGGGGTCCCTCAGTGGTGAGACTGGCTTGGGATCAGAACAGGAGGGAGAAGGGGGTGTTCCCAGGTCACTTCCCTGGCTGCAGTGGTCACATAACCTCCTCCTTGGGCTGGGATCAGTAGGGACATCGTTCTTGGTTTGCGGGGACATGTGAAGGGGAAATAATATTAACCCAGCTGACACTTGTTGTCAAAAATTTTCACAAATATTAATCCAGTGCAGACCATGATGGTTCCCAGAAGTATTTTTTTTTCTGTGATTACAGATCAACCAATTAACTTACCTTTCTTGCACATGCACGAAAAAATGTTTTGAAATGCTGATTAGGAATTAATCACAGGATGAATTTTCACCTGCTTTCTAATCAGTGATTGGGACAGTAGTAGCTAATTGAAAGGAATGGACTAGTTGGCTCGGATGGCCCAGTGTACAGGGATGCTGTCCTGTTCCTTAATAGCACCAGCTTCATAAAGAAGAGAACTGTTGCTTATGAAATATTTAACCACTGAAACCCTATTAAGTGCATGTGAACTGAGGAGAAGTCAAATATTGCAACATACAGGTAAGCTGAGAATGTCTCCAACCTGAAGATTACACATCTGCATAGTTCTGTTCATTTTCTAGTAGTTTGAGACAATGGTGTATTTCATATTTCTGTATTTTATTTGCTCTGTAAAGTATACTTTTGAGTTTACTTTTTTGTATTGTGGGTAATCTTGCCTCCTAGGATTGTTCAGCTGTTGAATTTGTTTTCTTTCTGGCCATGTAAAAGATTTTGTATTCTGAAAATCTAGCGATCTGTGCTGTCAGTGCAGCGATTCCATTTCCATTAACTCCCGTGGGGGTAATGAATGAGTCAGGGCTGCAGGGTCAGTGGGCAGGTTAAACTGTGGCAGGTCAGGGAACTTTGCCGTGACCTGTTCTTAATTTTAAAGTCTGCTGCTGTTTTTGTAGGCAGCCAGAACAGCCTGTGTGCTGTGTGTGCCTGAAGTACGCTGCTGAGCAAGACCAAGTGTGGCCCGATACGAAGCTGCCAAGTAATGCTACTTCTGCTCAACTCTGTGTTGTGAGCTCCATTTTTTTTTTTTTTAAGCTTCATTTTTTGAGGAGATGTCACAGTGTTGGTTTTTTTTTCTCTGCTTTGGCATGCTTAGTATTTCTTTCAATGTTAATGAATCACCAATTTATTTTAATCTTTTAAATCACTTCTACATGCTTAAGTTATTTTGGTTTTGAGTAAAAACAAAACTTCTAAAAAGCATCTGATTGTTGAACTAGTCTTTGTCCATTGATTTGTGCTTCAATTAATTTCACTTCCTCTCTGAGTGTTTTTTAAAGGAGGAATAATCCATTTTAGTCATTTAACATGCTTGATCTTGCTCAGGTTGGTCTTGCACTCAAAAAGAATGATTGCCCAGAAATTGCGAGGGTCCCAAACCTGCGGTCATTAGTAGGCAAAATTACTCTGCCTCTTTAATGGAAGCTCCTTGGTACGGGCGGCTGCTTGGGCCAATGTTGTGTCTTCTGGGCTGCAGATGGTCTCCTTAGTTTGGTTCTCCTTCATCCCAATCATCTTTGTATTGATAACAACCCCTCTGGATTGAGTGCAGTGCATTTTGGAGACCTGTTCATGCTTCTGGGGAGGATGTGATTGCTGGCTGTGGAAGATGAAATACCAAGAGACGTGGGCTGGGATTTTTCTGTTCGTTAAACACTTACCTTCCTTTGTAGCTTAAACAACTGTCTAATTGAAGCAAAGATGTTGCTGATGTTTTAATTATGACCTTGGCAATAAATCCTGAGGAGTCGACACTTTTTTAAAATAAAACTTGCAGTGAGACAAATGCGTATGTGTAGTTTTCTTTTTAACCCTACGTGTAGGCAGAACAGCATACAGATATTAGTGAATTTGGGCTCACCTCTTCAAAACAAATGCTTTCAAGCACTAGGAGGACTAGGGCTACATTTCATTTCCACATCTTTCTATAATGAGCACGGGCAGGAGTGTGTATCAGTGATCTAAAGTTTGTTAACTTACCCAGCTTGGGTATCTGCCTTTTAGATGTTTTTTTTCTTTTTTTTTCTTTTTTTTACGTGGTCACCATAGTCAAATTTGTGCCCATGGATTTGTAAGTACACTTTGTAAGACGTGATATGAACAGCTGCTCTGAATCTGCTTTATAGCAGTGGCCTCATAGCTGCCTCAAGAGTTGTGCAAGTGTAAGCTAATCTTACAGAGGGCTTCAGGCCCATTGAAACACCAGTAAATGATCACGCTCTGCCCTCCTTCGTTATGTAAAAACTGAAGGAGGAGTTCCAGCTCCTAGATGTGGCTGAAGTGGGTTCCCACATATTTTGTCATAGCCAACAGCACATGGGTGCTGCTGGAGATCTCTGCCTCTTTGTACAGGAGGAAAGCTGAAGCAGGTTGGTTTTCATCCCATAAAACCCCCAGTTACAGCATTCTTCAGCCTGGTCTCTGGTCTGGACAATTAAGGGGTCAGGAACCCAGGTTGCAGTGTGGTACATGTCTGCCCACAACGCAGCAGTCTCTCTGGCTTGTGTCTCATAGAATTTGCATTCCCCCCAGGTTTCCATGTTGTAGACAGTTGCCCTGTGCACTTTCTTATCATCCAAAAAAAATGAATTTATGATAAGTATTCTGTGACCTTGATGTGCTGGGCTGGGAGCCAGGACACAACAGTCTGTCTTACCTTTTCCAGTTATTTGACTGGCATTACAATTTGTGTACTTTATAACAGCTGTGTGGACCAAAGCTCATATGTGAGCTCCTAAAGCAACAGTTTGAAGAAGGTACTGCATACATGTACCTGGTGCTCTTATCTCACATGTGTCAGAACAGGCAGATCTCTGAGACAGGATTCCTCCCAGTCCCCTACTGCCATACATGTGCCATATGTGGCGTGCTCCCTTCAGCACCTTGCAAGTATGGGTGGTGGAAACCCTCATATCTTACATGGGGGAATAAACGAGTCTGTAGGGCTATGTAATAGAGCACTTTGATTCTTTTTTCTTTTCTTTAGTTTGTTCTTGGAACAAACACAGTGTCCAAACAAGCAGTCAGATCCCAAGGAATGCCCAAGATGTGTCTGTTTTCTGTTTCAAGGGTGAATTTCCTGGATAAGACAAAAGTTGGGGGCATCTATAGGAGATTTTGTTCCCCACAACGCTGTCTGGAACAATGTGTAATGCTGAGCATATGGTAGGGGAGAGTGGGATGGTTGTACAGTTCCTACAGTTCCACGTTGCATCTGGGTCCATCCGTGCACTTGGGTTCAGGGTTGCTCTCAGCTACCCCTGGCATCTGTGTACATTGAATTTATGAAAAAGGAGACTGAGTATGCGTGAACTTTGCAAATCCAGTAGAAAGCTTGTGTTCATCAAAAAGGGAAAGGAGACTGGCAGGCAGGAAACCTTGTTTTTCAATAAAAAGCAAGCTGCTCATCAAGCTGCCTTTTTTTTACCACTTTTCCTGAGTGTACTGATGAACTTTTATGGTTCCATCTTAAGTTAATTTACAAATTGCATTGAGCTGTGTGAGATTTCATCTGTAATAGGATTTTGTAGCGCCAACTGCTGGCTGTTGAAAGTTGCTCATCTCCGATCAGAACGAGGACTTGAAAGGCCAAGCCCTTAATGTGTTGCCCTCAGGATGGTTGGGTCCTGTAGAGTGTTCCTCTCCAACTCGTGCTGTGGGATTCCAGATACTGCAATGAGACAAAGTGAGCCCAAGTTTGGATGTCTCTATTTATATGCTACGTTCGCAGAACTTAGTTTTATAAGCCTGATACAAACTAGAACATCGCTAGTGAACAGTTTGGAGAAAAGGATTTTGCAAATTAAGGGTTGTATGAAGCTTAGTCATAAACACTGAAGTGTCAGGGCAGTCTGGCCCCTCCGCTAGCCCACGCCTTGGGAAATGGCTCCATCCTTGCCATTCTATACGTTTAGATACATAGCTGCCAACTGCTGTTTAACAAAAGACAAGAAAAGCACTTGGCATTCACTGGGAGCTCATGGGACAGCTGAAAAGGAAGCTTGTGGCTTTCACCTACCAGGTCTCCTCCCTCACTAAATTTCACCTCCACAGTAGATGTGGTGTGGTGTCAGAGTGCACAGGCGTGCCGCTCTGGCTGTTTAGCTTGTATCCTTGCAGTGGGCAGGCCTGGATGTGGGAGAGCATGGCTGGGGCCGGGCTCCTGGCTTGCACTGGTAGGCATCGGGAGGCTTTGATGTGCCTGGTATCTGCTGCACTTCCTGTCCTTTCTAGCCAATTGAAGGGGATATTGTAAAGTATGGCTCTTTTGGTTAGGGGGAGGCTGGTCTTCTTGGAGCTGTGCCTCTGTCACATCTGGGTGACCCGATCCTGGAGGTTCGGGAGCTGTGGAACAGCAGAGGGGACACGTGCACATGCTGCAGCCTCGGTTCTCCAGGCAAATGTTCCCTCCATACAAACGACCTTAATTAATAGAGAAGTTTTCTTACAGCGAGCTCGGTTGTTTTGGCTGAGTGCTTTGCGTACAATCTTTGAAATGATTGACTATGTTAAATCATGATAATTAGGTCTGACCATTAACCTCCCACAAAGCTGATTAGAGCTGGAGGTGGGGGGGAGGGAAGGAGGGAAGAGGAAGTTTTCTATTTTTCTTAGTACTTTTGTTTCAGTCTGTTTGCAGAGTAAACACGACAAGCGTGTGGGTTGATTAGCTGCAGACCATCTCTCTAGTCAGAGGAGGAGTTACTGAGTTTTTAAATGTGAAACCTGGGGTTTAGGGAAAATGTGCTCTGGGAGGCCTTGGGCCTCTGCACGCATGGCTTTGTGGTGCCTGCCTGCTGACGTGCAGGCTGCTTGCTCTGGAGCTCCTGTAACTTCACTTCCCAACGCAGTCACCCATGACACCTGTGTGGGACAGCACTATCTTCTGATTGCTGTAGGATTGGCTTTGCTGAGCTGGGGTAGCGCGGAGCAGCTCCTCCCCTCCAGCATTTCTGCGTCTGAGCGCTGTGTGGCTGTTAGAAGGTGCTTCCAAAGGGTATCTGCTGTCTGCCTGCAGTTCGTAAAGCAGTTACGACTGCTGTGTGGGTAATAGAGCTCGGTGCAACCAAAGGCAATGCTGACGGTGAGCTGCAGGCACTCCGTGTGAGCTGGACGTTGTGTGCTGTGCAGTGCCAGTGCTGCAACTGAAGGGGAGCTTTGTTGAGGAAAGGAGAATCCTTGCATGGAAAATGAGCAGCGAGCCAGAGAGAATTGGCTATTCCAGAGTGGGGACGGGCCTTCAGCCACCCCTGGCACGAACAATGGGGCTGCTGCAAATCTGATTTGAGCCGCTAACAATAACGCATTGAAAAGGAAAGCAGACCTCGCAGGTCTCTCTGTCTTTCCCTGGGTCCCTACTTTGTACTTAAGTTTTTGTTTGCTCTAGCAAACCCACGGCAACATAGATCTATGTGTGAGTACAGGGAGGGTGAAAATCCTTAGAACAGACAGCAAAAGGTCAGGCAGAAAGAAAGGCCCTCAGGAAAGAAGGGAAGCTTCCAAAACTCCAGGTATTTCAGATGAAAGGAGAGTATAATCTGAACTGTAATCACTGCATGTATTTTGTGCAGCTATGACGTACTCTCTTCCCCCAGAATTCATAAAACTCTGCTCCACGTATCACATAGATTATTTTGTTTTTCACTGAATAAAGAAGCCTGTAGCCAGTGCTCCTGCACCATGGAGATAGTGATCTCACCCACCCCCTCCTCTTCCCCACAGGCCAGGGGTCATGCTCTGCTTCACGTGGAGCCCACAGCTGTTCCCGTGGCTGAGGTCAGGCAGTGGGCTGTTGGTTCTGGGGCTCCCTGCGAACAGAAGCCGCTGCATGGCCCTCCCATAGCGTTGTGCAGCCACCATGGTGTGGCCTGCAGAGCTGGCACTGTGATAGCTGCAGGAGAGCAAAAAGGGAAAGCTGGATACCAAATGGTTCCTATGTAGAAGATAGCAAGAAATGGCTTATAAAAAGCTACAGTGTATTCAATTATTTATTTGCCGTTTTTGGATTTGTATAGGATAATCTGTTAAAAGTTTCATTCATTGGGATCTGTGTAACTCGAGCCGTAGATCTGGGCAATGCTCTTATATGTGCAGCAAGCACCCTCTTCTTTCAGCTATTGCTCCGCCTGTCTGTTGCTCTGCTATCTTGTGTAATAGGAATGCTGCTTTTTTTTTTTTTTTTTTTTTTTAATCCATGAGATATTGAACATTTTTACAAAAGCAGATTCAATTATCTTCATTTATGTTTTCATTACACTGGAAATTCCAGCTACACCTGCAGCAGAATAACCTCTCCCATTAGACTTGTTGGTACTGGTCAGTTTGTACTACTTTCCGGATGGAGGAAACTGCTCTATTGCTAATCCCATTTACTAATGGTCTTCTGTATATTTACAATGGATCTGTAACTGCATCTGATGAGTGATAAAGTGGGAACTGAGCTCAAATATGTTGACTTATTATGTTCCAGCCACTAGACCCTTTGCTCATACCTTTGTTATTGAAAACCTGCCTGAAATTATTGATGAATTGCATTCCACAAGCAGAAAATAGCTCAGTTATAGGGTGTACCCTGTTATTAAATACTGAACCAGGCTCAGTTTAGGTGAACACCAGACTAGCATTACATACATTTTACTTTTTTTCCATTTGTGTCTTACTGTAATGGATTTTAGTTAATTTCATTTTTCCCAATCAAGTGTACAGCTAACAAAAATATTGATGCAAAATTGTTCTTGTATTGTAACTTCCTTTTTTTTTACAATTAGTTTTAAAATATCTCAATAACTCTTAACTGTTAAAATATATTTGCATTATTATCAGGGGTTAAGTTCTTAAGATACCTAATATTGTTAAATATTTGTGTCACCGAGTTTATTACAGAGACACTTGCTTGATGTAACATGTCACTTTCATTTAGCTATGTGATGTTCTTTGACGTGCCTTGTGAATTACGAATAAAGTAATCCCTCCTGGATCACCATTTTATTCTTCCTGTCTATGCAGTAACAAGCGACTTGTGGCCTTAGTGCCAAATGACACTTCATTCAACACCAGACGAGCCTACACCAGCGAAGATGAAGCCTGGAAGTCGTATTTGGAGAATCCCCTAACAGCAGCTACCAAGGCCATGATGAGCATAAATGGTGATGAGGACAGCGCTGCTGCCCTTGGCCTATTATATGACTATTATAAAGTAGGTAACACCATCGGTATTCCTCCCTGCTGCATTGGCAGGGGCCCACTCTTGTGGGGCATCAAGAGCCAGTTTTCAAAGACACAACTTGCTACACGTTGTTTTATTTCTGATACTACGTCAAGTGTCCTTTCCACTTTAGGAAGCCTCCCTGAGGCTGTTCTCACGTATTTAGTTCTGGAGAGAAAAAACGAAATCAGAATTCTCATATCAAATGTGCAGGCATGATTTCTTCTACGGTACTGCATTCTTCCTCTTACCTTGGAAGAGCCTTGGATGAATAGTCCTCCTTTATTTGATGCCCCTATACTTGCAATACTAGTTTAGAAGTGGAAAAAAAGGAGACCTTGTCCATCTGTAGGTTTGTCTGCTTTTATGCTTCATTCCACAGATGTTTTAATTTGTTCTTTGGCTGGAGTATCTCTCATCTGACAGTTTCCCATGTTATTTTTATTTGTACAATGATTGCAGTAGGCTGTGTACAAACATACAGTGAGGTCTAGCCCTTGCACTTGAAGTTTGCGGTCTAAATAGAAAGGTGGAGAACAGAAATGGAGCTGGACACAGAGCTGACTCAATGTACAGGGTAGGCATTTACATATAATTTCAGTCTATTATCTGGTTTAAAGCCCAGGGCTTTATCTTCCACTTTGATACCAACTTTCTTTTTCATATATTTCATAATATAAGGCTATGCCAAAGGATTCTGCTGAAGTTGGAGGAGAACCCTACAGGGTACTTCTATCTGTAATGCAGAAATGTCACTCTGAAAACCAGGCTGACCTCTTTGTGCTCTGGAAACAAAATCCGTGATGCCTACTAAATGCTAAAATCTGGAATTGGGCTTTTCACTTAAACTAGCTTTGTACTCCTCAAGCCATTGATGTCTGACGTGAACAGATGACCTTCTTTGAAAGCCAACAGAATAACGCCAGCTCCGCTCTTAATTCATGAAGAGGTGGCAGAAATGGATATTGAAAATGAAAAACCTCTGCTGTTAGTATTTATTAGCATAAATGCTTTTGGAGAATAGGTTTCTCAGTCTGCTACAATTGGTAGACGAGTGTTGAGGAGAGTTTATGAACAAGATGCCATATGCCAACATTAGTGTTAAACATTGTTTTATTTCATTACTGATTGTATTTTGAGAGATGTTCCATTCTTTTGTCTATTGCAATGAGTAGGGAAGGGTTTTTCCCGGTGAGAAAGAGGAACGGTCCTGTTCTCTGCTTGGCAGAATTACCAGAGTCTGTGAAGTTAATGTGGACTCATACAATTCAGGATGTGTACGACCATCTGGAGTACTGGCTTCTGTCCTAGCTATACCCTTGAATCTAGCAGTTCATTATTCTGCTGGATTTTTTTGTATAAAAACAAGAACAGCTCTTTCCCTTCCCAAAACAATGTTTCAGTAAATATGTCTGTCCCCAGTTCCAGACAGTTGCAAGAGCTCCAGGGGGTTCAGATGGAATAAGCTATGTTAATCTCAAAGCCATTTCTAGCATTCAGTAATTGCCACTTCTGTCTTAAAGTGAGAGAAAAGGATTGCTCTTGATGATGCTCTCAAACAGGAAGTTAGAACCTAGCTTCAAGCTCTGTGCCACACTGTGGAATCATAGAGGAGGATTTCCTATTCACAAGACTCTCGAATTGCCCTTATTTATCATCTGGTTCGTTTATTCTAAAATGCTGGTAATGGTGGTTTTTTTGAAGTGCTTTTCCTTGTCAATAGGAATTATTAGAATATACTATTTTTTTTTCCTACCTTTTCCTTCTTCTTCTACTGATTTTTATCTAAACTGACTCCCTCTTTGGGGATAAATATGTGATAAATATGTGAATAGGAATCAACAGGTGTGAGCTGTGGCTTGGATTCCACTTCTAAAATTCATGAAAGCGGTTTGTTAACCAGAAGGACACTGGATAGGGAGAGAGGATGTCCCTAAGAGGAGGAAAGGCTCTGGCTCGCACTTCTAGACTCTACTGTGGTCTTGCAGATACAGTACCTTAGGTACTGTAGTGCACTGTAATATTGTTTTTTTCCCTCTAAATACAAGTGTTTTCCTGATCTTTTAATAAAGTATTTAAAGATAACAGGCATGACTTTAGCCCATCCTTAGGTCTGTTCTTGCTCTTTAATCATGAATTAACTGCTGTGATGGTGTGGCTGTATCATCTCTTGGAAAAAATAGATGAGAAGTTTTAGTTCCAAAATTGCTGGTTTAGCAGAGGAAAACACAGCTAAGGCAGCAACTTTGCCCTTGGTAATTTCATTTCAGTGCTGACCTCAGAAAACCAGTATGTGGGAATCTGTAAGCCATTTGGTGTTGATTTGAGTCTGTCTGGGGGCCAGATTTGACTTTATTCTCATGGCTGCCATTGCACTCAGCAAAGCAGAAGTCAGTGTTCTCTGATGACATGCCAGCATGCCCTGACCTCTTCTCATGCTAGTGAAGAGAAGGATTTGTACGCTTCCCCTGGTACAAGTTCTGCATCTTTCCGACTGCTCTGTAACAGGAGGACCTCACAGCTGGCTCTTGTGGTTTAATTGAAAACTTCCTCTGAGCTACAGTGTTCTTCACACAGTGCTCACCAAAGCATCCCCTTTTCATTCTCATAATTTGTTAAGCAGTGAAGTCTGTGTGTTTGGGAATGTAAGCTTAGATTTTGACTTCGCTTTCACCTAGTTTGATATTCCAGAGATAGACATGTAGGAAAGAGCTTTGCTCCAGATTTATTTACCCAAGAACTAGAAGAAAGCCCCACAGTCTCTACATTTTTTCTCTTTGAAAATTATCTTGTTCCCAGTAAGTCTCCCAAAGAAAAACAGCTCCTTGCATCTGTGTATTAGACAACTCTTGGTCTTTCTAGTTGTTACAGTAGAGCTAACTGAAGTTACAAGTACCTGACAGTTGCATTTACCTGACCCCATGCCTGATGTTGTTCTCAGGTTCCCAGAGATAAAAGGCTGTTGTCTGTTAACAAAGTGAATGATAATCAAGAAGACCAAGATAAAAGGTACAGTATTATTCAAAATCATACACCCAGATACTAACAGTGTTGATCAGTTGTGAACTGAAGGAGCAGTGATAGCTTGAAGGTCTCTGGTTTTCTTCCAAAAGATACAAGAATGAAGACTATCCGGGAAAGCAAACTTTAGTTCTTACTACTATCAATTTATTAAAAAATAGAACAGGATTATTACTTACACAATTTGCAAAGTAGAGAATTTTCATGACTTGTGTTTTGTTCTTCCACTGCTGCTGAGATTAGTAAAGTCAGATTACATTGTCAGTTGGCTATTGACTGCTTTTCCTTCAATTTTCTTAGGGCAGAAACTGAGTAGCTTGGCTTCAGTAACCCAGTGTGTATAGTTTTATTTGACATAACTGAGTGTCTACTCATAATCAAATAAAGTAATTATTAAAATCATTCCCTGAGAAGTTCTTGTCACTCTTCTCAGATTTCAGCCCTCCTCAGCAGGCTGGAAGTTGTAGAGTCAGAGGAACCTGATTGCCTGATTCCTGTTTTAATTTAGATCTGTGCACAAGGGAGAGCGTATATTTAACGAGAAATAACTAATTTTTTGCTATGCAGAATTTCTCAGCGTAGCTAATTTTGGACAAGCCTATGCATCTGTACTAGTATGCGTTAGGTGAAACTTCAAAATAGGTAGTAGTATAAATCCATTGTTTCAGAACAGAATGAACATTTTTTGTGGAACAGTTTTACTTCTACTAACCCCAGAGAAACTCCAAAGTTGAGTGTGATTGTCAAAACTGGCCTCAAGTGAAAAGCTTGAAGAGAGAGGAACCCTAATGTCAGAGCACATTTCCTGGGTTGAAGACAAAGCAGAATGTTAGACCTACTAAAAGGTTTATAGGTTAACAATTTTGTGTCAGTGCAACTCCTGTGAACAATCTGTTTGTTTTCAACAGTGACCACAGGCAGAGACGTGGGAATGCTGCTGGAGGTTACCTTGCAGCCACGATCTCGTTACTGATCTACTCTGATACAATAGGATTCCTGTGCTTGTTCTTTCAGAAGAGCATTGGTATCCGAGTCACACAAGCAGTAGTGTCTGGAAAGAGCATACAGCATGTGGATTTTGCTGTTCCTGCTATTTCACATGCAAATTTTCTACTGTTAGTAGTCCATACCTTGTGTTACTCTTTGTGCCTTTTTGTGCCTAAGGGTTGTTGCACTCGTAGATTGACTTCCCATCCAAATTATAAGCCAAGGCAAGTGTCATCCCAGATAGGCAGAATTGATCATAACGAGTCCTACCAATTATAAGTCAAATCGAGTGTATCGTCTTTCCCAAGCTGTTGAAGAGTTGGGAATCCCTCCGCCTGCTTCACCAGTCGTGTGCCTAGGATTTGTTAATGTACTACTTGTTATGGCAATGGCTTATCAGTGTCGAAAGCGCACAGATCTCCTTCCCTGCCATCTAAGGTCATTAAGCTATTTAAGGAGGAGATTTACTTTATCTGGACAGTTCGTAATGTTTTTGTTTTTGTCTCACAGAAATTGTCTCAGTTCCACGGAAGCTCAGAGTAATTTGAGTGGGGGAGAGAACCGTGTGCAAGTCCTGAAGACGGTGCCTGTTAACCTTTCCTTGAACCAAGACCCATTGGAGTCATCCAAGAGGGAGTACAACACAAATGTGTCTGGCAGCTCCACGCCAATTACAGGGACTGCGGTGACTGTGATAAAAGCAGAAGAGTTCACCCCTGTTTTTATGACCCCACAAGCACACTACACGAGAGGAGAAAATGAGGAGCACCGAGGGGTTATTTTTGAACCGTATGAAGTGTCCAACATTGCTCCCCACACCAATTATCTCAAAGATGATCAGCGCAGTACTCCTGACAGTACATACAGTGACACCTTCAAAGATGGAGGAACAGAAGTAAGTTTTTGATCTCAAATTAGCATCTAAGAACTCAATAAAAAGCTGTAAACAAGATAAGGGATTTGAGCTTGTAAACAAGATAAGGAGACTTGAGCTGTCCACAAAGGCCATTGAAAGAACAGTAATGTTAGTTTTAACAAATTCAACTCTCCTCTTTGTCGTGTTGACATCTGTTTGTGCTGATTGTAGGGGAAAATCATAAGGTGTTTCAGAAGACAGTTTTTAAGTTGTTTAGTGGAAACTTGAAGAGTTACAGTTACTGATATTTTGTCTTGGAGGATATTGTAGCAAGTAGAAGATAGATACCATTCCCAAGGAAGATCAGTTGTCCATTAACTAGATCTGCCTTCAGACCTTTTCCTAACTGTAAGAAATAGCACCCATTTTGTAACTGGGAAATTCTTGATGTTCTTCTGAAAATGCAAATGAGCAATGTCTGTTTGCTGCTAAATAAACCTAATTTATTCAAAAGCTGTCCATTACACTAAGCTCTGCTCTGCAACATCAGCAAGGAGGTGAAACTAGTCGGATTAGGGGAATGGAGAGATTAACAGGCAGGGAAAGACTAAGATGCTTGTATATGTAGGGGAATGATGAGGAGAAGAGAGAGAAGGCTTGTCACTATTTTACACTGTTTTGCTGAGACAAAGTAATTATAAAACTAGCCTTAGTATGGTAAGTACCCCCTGGCTGCTTTTGCCTGCAGCAGAATAGTCCAAACAAGTCAGAACTTCAGAAAGGTAGAAATGGTTTAAGGCTGACAGTGCTTGTGTGAATAATTAGATGTACTAGGTGGTAAAACTCTCCTAAGATTTTCTTCTCCTCCTCTATGAAATGCTACAAGTAACAAATGAAAATAGGAAACAAGCCACATTAAGGGTAATTTGGTCTTACTTGAATGTTGGAGAGGCTTGTTATATGTTTGTGTACGTGTCTGTTAGAAAAGTAAATTGTCTCCACGTAAGCATCGTGAATGAGGACATCTGGATGTGACATCCATTTTAAGATAGAGAAACCCATTTAGGTCAACTAAATGAATAATTAATAGGAGAATTTAGATTGCCAATGAAAAATCAGTAAAGTCAAACCTGGGATTAGAAACACAGTTCTGCATTATCAAATTGCATTATTTCAGCTATTTTTCTTTGTTTCTGGTTAATCATTCTTTATGGATGTCTGGTGATAATGCACACATGGCTTTCCAGGGGAGCTGCAGCTCAGCAATTCCATTATGCTGATTTGTTAGGGGACATTGTGCTGGAAAAAGGCAGTCCTTGCTGTGCACTGTCATATCAAGCATGCACAGTGGTGGTGAGCAGAAAGGGAACCTACCTTTTGCCGTGCATCCCAAACTCGATATTATGGTGTCAGTAAAATTTTGTTTAATGTTTTTTAAAGTTGCTGGTTATTTGCACAATGTCTTTTAAAGCAGTACGATACTTGTCATCTGGGCTTTCTCTGCAGCCTGTGGAGAAGGAGGCAGCTCACACCTGATTGCTTGAAATGGGTGGAATGAATTCCAATATGGCATGCACGCCTCCATCTTAACTTACAGGGGGACTGAGCTTTAGCCAGATCTCCCCTGTAGCTGCTTTAAATTTAAGTGCTAATATGGGGCAGTTTTCACTGTAATTATCTCATCATGGTTTAGATTTCTTGTAGTAGCTAGTGCATGTGGATCCTTGACTTCTCATTTTGAGGAAATATTCCTGGCTGATACATAATAACTTTGCACTTCACTTCTATCATACTGGATATCTGTTGTGATGCTTCTGGAAACAAAACAGTTTTTTATTGCTGAGCATTGATCACAAAATAAGTCCTGGAAATTAAATGTAATGATCCATCAGCAACTGAGAATCACTACTCGCACAGTAGAGTACAAATGGGCTCATATGTTCAGGAAGGCAGAGTATAAATCCTTGATCACTCTGCACAAAAAGACTTCATTTTTGAGAATTCTATCTCCTGATGTAATTTTTGTTTTGACAGATGTTTTCATTTTGTAATGACTGACTGAAAGTTTTTGTTTATCTAGTAAAGTGTGCGTTTCGCTCAAAGGAAATATTGTATTGAAGGCAAAATACTTTCACAGAACCACAGGATGGCTGAGGCTGGCAGGGCCCTCTGCACCCCTCTGGCCCGCCCCTGTTCCAGCAGGAGCACCCAGAGCAGGGGGCCCAGGCCCACGGCTGGGTGGCTTCTGAACATCCCCAAGGAGGAGATCCCACAGCTTCTGGGCAACCTGTGCCAGTGCTCCAGCATCACACAGCACAGCAGTGCTGCCTGGTGCTCAGAGGTGGCCCCTGTGCTCCAGTTGGTGCCCATTGCCTCCTGTCCTGACATTGGGCACCTCTGAACAGAGCCTGACTGTCTTCATTGCCGTCCTCTCTTCAGATATTTAAGGAGACTGATGAGATCCCTCTGAGCCTCCTTTTATCCAGGCTGAGTAGCCTCAGTTCTCTCCACCTCTTCTCACAGCTTCAGGCCCTTGATCAAAGCCTTAGCCTGCATCACTACACCTACTCAAAATAGCATACAGCAATCTAAATTTGTATCAACATTTCTTTGTAAACCTTAAGGACAGCTGGCCACACATAATTTTAAATAAAGCAAAACAAAACAAAAGACACCATGAAGTCTTTAGGAAAACTGATTTCTTCTGAAAGTCTGCTTATCTTTGAGATGGGGTATGTTTTTACAGGTTTGTTTTAGAATGGATTAATGTGCAAGCAAGGGCTACAGCAAAGCAGAAAGTGTTTTTCAGCTGCATTTCTCTTGGTTATGAAAAACTCCAAAAGCTTAGTATAAATGAGCTTTATCAATTCTAGTGTAAAGACCATTTAGTCTTCACTTCAGTTTTTAGGGATTTCAATTTTAAATGACTGATTTTTTTTTCTGGAGGATTCTGAAGTAAACGCAGTTTTGCTTTTGCTTCTACTTTTTGTTTGTTTGTATCAAACTATACCTAATTATTGTTTTTATTTTTCAGAAGTATCGCAGCGTGTCAGTGGGGGCTGAAGAATACATTTATGAACAAACAAGGTATGGCATCAGCTTTGAAATATGTTGGCATCATCATATAAGGGTTATCAAGGAAGTGCTCCCTTGTCCATTTCCCACCCTCCTTTTTGTCACCCTGGGACACTTGCAGACCTCTCTTGACACTGATCAGCATTGTTCTTCCCTTCTCTGCATGTTAGTTTTCAAATCTGACCTGTGTGTATCTTCACCTGTTATCTTGGTTTGGGTTGAAACTTTTCTCGAGCCCCTGAAGTTACATGAGATTAAATCTGTTCAGAAGAATTCTCCAGATAAAGGGGCATGGCTTTGACAGCTGAGTCATGGAAAATCTTCCCCACCTTTTCAGGATGGCAGGTTGCACAGCTCTGATGTCTGAGGTGGCTGAACTAACTCTACTGACCTTTTGAAATTTCTGTCTTTTGGTTTTTTTCTTCCAACTTTCTTAGTTACTCCTTGTGGGTTTTCTGGGAAACCCTCTGTCTTTTTACAATGCTTGTTATTATATTTAAGTTTACTTATAAAGTCAGTAAGGCATTTAAAGCCATGTAAAAAACGAAGAGTTTTTATAAGTTTTGGAAAAAAAAATTAAAAACTGAAGTTTGAAAGGAAAACTGACCTTCCTGCTAAGGACAGAAAAAATGCATGCACAGAAAGGGCAGATGCTGCACAGTCACTTAACTATGAGAGATTGCTATCAGTAACATTTATAAGCCAATGCTTAATTTTAATCTCATGAATAGTTCTGTTTATATCTGAGAGATTATACATGTTTTAAAAAACAGGAACATGCCTACATTATTTTTTTTCCTTGAGTAGGCACATGATTGCTTCTGTAGCAGAGGTTTCTTAGAGCCTGATCTTTTTTCTGAGCAATATTAAAACAATCATTAACTTCAGTGTGCTTGGAACTGAATTGTTGTGTGGGCAGTACATATGAAGCAGATCTGTAGCAAAGAGTGCTACAGACTTAGACTGGCTGTTTATAAAATCAAATCCCAAAGCATTGGCCTTGCAGTTCTCAGGCATTCAGTCTTTTCTGCTATGATGCAGGTCCTCTTTGTACTGTAACGTCCAGATACACACTAAGGAAAGAAAAGTCTTCTTTCCTAGGAAAGTAGTTGTAGGTGCTCAGACATTAAAGCTTCAGATTGAAAGTGATGAATATGAAAGTAATTGAATACTTGATATAAGAGTCCTTAACTACATGGGCTTTAGTTAAAACCCATGGTGAGATTTAGAATAGCATTTTAACCATTTGAGTGGCTGAAGTAAACTCCTGCTATAGTGCATGCTCTGGTTTGCCAGCTGACAGCAAGAAGAAATTTCCCAAGTAGTAACACAGAGATTGCACAACTGGCCAGGGGCAGCCTGTCTGGGGTTTACTGTTAATGGAGATTTAAACTTTTTGTGCTTTAAGATTTGCTCCTAAAAGTGAAAAGAACTAAAGCTAGGTGTTTTCTTCTGATTCATTTTTAAAAGAAAACTTGTAAAACCTTAATTGCATATTTTCTTTAAATAAATGGACCTCCTGCCCCTCCTCTTTGTATTGTTTCTCTGCCTAGTGCTTGAAAATAGCAGTTGGACTTTCCGTTCTTCATGTGCATCTTTTGCAGCAAGTTTTGTTCTGTTTTTACTGAATTTCTGTTTCTGTGGCGCTACTAAGTGTAAATGTCTGTGGAGGTAGGTGATTTCCTGATTAATACTGTAAATTATGCTTCATTCCCTCTTGGCATTTGATACTTCTGGTGGGATATGCAGCCTTGTTCTTTATGATAGTTCTTGGTTCTTTCCAGAGAAAGTAAAAATGAGGTCTTTGATCCAAGATACTTACAGTTCAGACAGTTTTATGCTCAATTGCCAGACCTGATGAAATTGAAAGAAGAAATCTGCATTTTTCAATACTTGTGTGACATTTTCCAGGCATTTTGTTTGTTTCCCAAGCCCTTTGCCACGTGTATGTACTGTATGAAATATGTAATGTGTGGGGACAAAGAGGAAAGGAGAAAGTGATATGGAATTCATTGTTGTTTCTTTCCCTGTCTTTTCAACAGCACTTTTCAGTATACACTAGAAGCTACCAAATCTCTGCGTCAAAAGCAAGGGGAGGGGCCTATGACCTACTTAAACAAAGGACAGTTCTACGCCATTACGCTGAGCGAGACGGGTGACAACAAATGTTTCCGGCATCCGATCAGCAAAGTCAGGGTATATTCCAACTTCTTTCCTAGATGGGAATGGAGCTCTTCATATAAATGTAGTTGTGGTTGGTTGGTTTTGAGTTGTGGTTTTTTTTGTTTTTTTTTTTTTGAGGAACAGGACAGAAAAAGCGTACTCTTATGTCTAATTTAAAGGTGGAAGAGTGATATTGCTGGTAGTCTCAGTATTAGAGTTAATTGATGAGTTGGGAGCTAATCAATTATATATGCATATATATCTACCTTAGTGTATGATTTTGGCAGAATGATCATAGCACAAATATTGCTACTGGCACTGGTGAACTTATCATTCCCTGATTAAAAAGAAAAATCAGAGAACTGCCGTATTTGCTATGTAAGTCCATCTTTACTTGTGTACTACAGTCGGTGCTCTCCAGTGTATTTCAGATAAAATGTGAAGAACTGAAGCCATCCTTTAGGACACCAATTTTTAAATAGTTACACTGTATAAGTGTGAGCTTTCACTTGATGTCCACCTAGAAATATGCCAAAATGGATGATTTGCATCTCAGATTCTGAAAACAAAACTGAAGCCGGGTGTTCAGCAACATCTGCCTAGTGAGCAAGCCTCCTCATTTCCCTGGTGATGTTTTTGAGTAAGCAAATCCTAACTCAATAACCTTGAAATGAGCTATGAGCCTCAGAGTCGATGCCCTGCAAATTTCACCCTGAAGCTGGAAGGGCTGCATATGTATGAGGCTGCAAAAGTGTTTCCATCCAAATAAATGTTCCTTAAAAATGTTGTGACTTTAGTCACAGGAACCAATGAAAATCAACATGAGCAGTGAAGCAGACAACAAACTATATCATAGAATCATAGAATCATTTGAGTAGAGACCTTTAAAGGTCATTTTGTCCAACTCCCTTGTAATAAACAGGGACATCTACAGTTACACCAGGTTGCTCAGTGCCTGATCCAGCCTGACCTTGAATGTCTCCAGGGGTGGGACATCCACCACATCTCTGGGCAACCTGTTCCATATGCTTCTGTCATACATGAAGTTTAGTGACACGCTTTATAACAAGAGGCAGTGATTTGTAAACCTGAACAATAGTTAATTTTTGGCCTGGTTTCCTAAGGGCATGAGCTTGATGATGGTTTCACTGTTGACTGAATCTGGTATAAGACTTCCCTACTGCTGAAAAGTCTCTGCCTCTGACATCCACCCTTTGTGGTGCCAGCTCTGCCATTTCTATAGCTGAAAAAGGAGTTGGGGGATCTGATCTGGCTGTAAGCCAATCCTTGTAAGTTTGATTCACTACATATACATATGAGTTTTGAAGCAGCAGAAGAGATGGACTTTGTAAAGGAGAGATTTCTTCTAGGAAATATGTGGTTTAAAGAAGATTATGGAATCACACACAACTTTCACAATCCTGTTGTGTTTACCAGGCGCTCATTCAAGCAACTGATTAATTTATTGCCAATTTCATCCAAACCTGACAGAAGGGCAAGATGTTTGAAGGTATTAAGCTTCTGCAAGTTCAATGTATATGGTTCCTAGAAGAAAAAAAAAAAATAGCGCTCCCCTTGATGATGAAAAGCTACAGTCTTACAGTCTGAGCTGCCAGTTCTGGTTAGTGTGTGAGCTGGCCAACTGGCACATACCTGCTGGCCAGTCAGTATGCATACGCAAACTCAAGACTCATCCATGTCACGTGCTGCTTTTTACCCATTCAGCAATAAGACAAGATGTATAATGATGTCAGTTAGCTTTTGTAGGTCACAGAGCACATGAACGGTTACAGTGGTGAACGTGCATAGGGACATAGGTCATGAATCAATTGTGATCCAGTTCCTTACTTACAGAACAGCTTGTTGTTATTTTTATGAGCTTGGTGACTCAGGGTTAAAGGAAGAATAGGAACAAAAGAAGATGTGTAAAAGTGATTTTGTTGTTTTGTTCTCCGTTATTTCTTTTCTTTGCAGGTTACCTAGCATGAGCACTCTTTCATTGTTTTGTATTTTTTGTTTTCCTTGACTACAGCAGGGCTTTTTGAAAAAGCTTCTGTTTCTCATGTGCTGTTTTGTATAATGTTTCAATCTATTTCCCTTGAACCCCACAGTTTAAACAAAGGGAATCCAGAACTTGAACTGAAAAGCTCAGTGAAATCCAGCAAATATTCACACTGAGTTTGTCATTACGTACATGTATGCAAGAGTTTTGCTCCTAAGAAGGATATTTGGACATGTTAAAACTGTACATTCATGGAAGAAGATGAAGAAAAGCATCAACATTATCACCAGTCATGCTCAAATACTTATATTTTGTGGAATAAAATTTGCTTTAGGTTTTGGTGGTTGCAGGAACTTACCTATTACCTTTTTTTGTCAGGACATTATGTAACAATTATGTTACCCACAGAAAGCTTCTCCTTTTAACTCCCAAAAGGTACCAAATGAGACTTCTCTCTGAAGTTTTTGTTCCTCCATTGCATTGTCACCAGTATTCCATGCACAACTAAACTGCCTTTTGAAATTGTCCTACCTTTACTCCTAGTTAAGTCTGAGCTCCATTAAAACACAACCACTATTTTAAAACTACGTTTCTTTAGTTGTGAAATTTTACATGCAATTGCAGTATTGGACTGTAATAAAACCAGTGATCTTTTATAATCCAAGCGCTGTGGGAGGGCAGTGATTAGAACTGTTGTGTTTCTGACTATTAATTACATATTAACTAATGCACCCTCTGCTGTTTATTTTCTTAGAGCGTGGTCATGGTTGTTTTTAGTGAGGATAAAAACAGAGACGAGCAGCTGAAGTACTGGAAATACTGGCATTCCCGGCAGCACACAGCAAAGCAGAGGGTCCTTGACATCGGTAAGTATGAGAGAATGTTTTGGAGAAGACTGCAGAGTGTGGAATTCTCTGGTGCCTTTCACGGAGATGTGGTGAAATATGTTGGCAATGGCTGTGTGGGTTACACCCTAACTTTTAGCAATGACTTGTCCCTGCTAGGAAAGACTGTATGGTCTATGAAGCAGGAAGGAGACTTGCAGACGAACAGTCCTCAGCAGTCATGGAGTAAAGCTTCTACTTGCAAATGTACTTAACAGTGTTCCCCCTTTTGCTGAGAAGTTGGTGTCTGTGCCTTCTCAGGAGTGGCTGGAGCATTTCCTTTTGCTTCTCTATGACTGGTCCATTCTTCAATCCAGTACCAGCCCACATAACAGTTAAGTTAGCAAATGTGACAGAAAGGCTTCCAAGAAGATGTAAATGTTTCAGGGCTGTGTTGCTGCAAGGGCCTCACTGCTGTGTGGCCTGAGACTTAAGATGCCATCATTATGGTGACTGCAAATATGCACCCAGGACTCTTCCACCACTTTGTCAGTGTTGGAGAAAAGTGAGGAAGAGATGCTGAGCTCTGGTGTGCTATCCTGAGAGACCTGTTTACTGTTCATCCTGTCTAATTTGCAAGCCCATCTTGATCAGAACTGCTCTATCTGCGTGCTTTAGAGATTAGAACACAAGAAGAGCACGTACCTGCACAGGAGCCTAAAGTTGAAATCTGTGGGAGTGTCTAGACATCAAGCAGTTCTCCCCTCCCACGTACAGTTTACACACGCAGCCATCTGTGGCTGATCCCCGTCAAAGGAGATGGTGAGACCAAAGCAGACAAAATCTATCTTGTTTTCACTGCCTGAGGGAACCAAACCATTGAATGACAGGAAAGAGAGGGAGCAAGGGGGGGGAGGGAAACAGAGAGAACACTGGAGAGTGTACTGTAAGACTTCATGGGGGACCAAACACCGCCAGCACTGGGAAGTGGTTCCCAGAATGGTCCTACTCATGCAGTGCCTTTTGACTTTCAAATGCTGCACCCTCCACTGAAGTTGGCATAAATCAGGTGTGTTTGGTCAAAGCCACTGGTCTTCTATTCCAGCATCTCCTCACTGCCTCTTGTCTTATTATCATGGTTCTGGCTGAACAGTTTCCCCAACTTCTGTTTTTCTCCTGTGGGGGTATTTAAGGCAGCAAAACCTCCACCTCAGCCCAGATGACTCCTGTCATGACACATGGTAAAAGAGCCAACATATTATGTCACAGCTGTTTCTGAAGGCTGCCTTTGTGCTAGTCCCTACAAGTTTATGGTGCTAACACATACCTTTGAAGGGATGAGCTCCTTCCATTGCTGTGCCAGCACCTTCTGGCACTGCCACATCAGTGTTTCATCTGTGGTGTGCAGCACACATCAGTCCCCATACCCAGCAACTCAGCTTATGGTACATATTCTGTAAAACAGTGCTTTGAGCTGTGTGTTTACCCGTCTTAAAGCAAATGTCTTTTATGTTGCCATTAATTTGAGATGAAATAGATCTGTGCTGACTTTTGAGGCACTGTGGCATGTTTCCTTTATTTGGACTGCAAACATGAGCAAAGTGCAGTGGAGGAGTTCCTGATACAGACCTGAGAACTGCAAGAGCACAGTTTGTTCACTTCAGCACTTTCAGATGAAAGGCTTGAATGCTGCTCAGGTAGTGCTATCTTGAGAACATCTGAAATGCAGCTTTAACTTAACTTATTTTTTAAGCACATTTTGTTTCGCTTATGACTTGCATTGTGGATGTTGTTAGGATGTGAGGGCCCCAAATGCATCTTTCATATAGGCATCAGCCTGCATTCAGCAAAATCTTCCAAATTCCAAATTCTAAATTGACTTTGCTCTGAGGGATAGGCTTGATACCGCTAACTTGCTAACTTCGAGTCCCTCCTAGCCTAAATCGTTGTGTCATTCTATGCAGATTTTCCTTTGAGTTAAGAATTCAGCCCAAGGTACTGGGAGAGCTCCTGTAAAGGAACACTGCATTAATGGCCACACCCTGTGTAGTTAACGGAGAGAATTAGGTGTTCATGAGCCAGATTAGCAAGTACCAGGATACTCCCTGAGGAGCCATTTAAAGGGCCTGGATGGAGTTTTGTTAAGGGCAGGGGTGTGCATCGAATCTGTCTAATCCTCAGAGGATGACCTGATGATCTCTGCTGGTAGCCCTACTTCTCTGTTCTTTGAGCCCTCACTAATTAGCAGTATACAGAGGGTTACACAGCTATTAGGCGCCTTTCAAACTATATATCTGGGAATAGCCATTAACATGTATACTTTATTTCACAAAGTTTATAAACATTCATATTATTTTAACTTCATATTTGTAACATATATTTAACATCTGCGAGTCCATTTTAGTTGTTTATGAGTGCACTTTACATCCAAAACATGACTTAGCAGCAAAAGGATTACATGAATATGAAATATTCTAGTTCTGCCTGTTCAGTCCTCAGGCAGGAATGACTCTGCTGCTTGTGCTGCTTCTTCAGTGGTTCAGGTCTGCTAGTCTTCCTTCTGTGTATCTTGGAGATCAGAGGCAATAAGGAGGCTTATTCCCTCACTTTGGACATGCAGGAGTTACTGCTGTATTTGTTTTGTGTACTGTCTGGTGCTCTTTTTGATAGGAATGGTGGTTGAGTGGATTAGATTCTGTGTGGATCTGCAGATGCATTGATATTAATAGGATAAGTATATACTTAAATGTAAGTAAGTCCTTAGTGCTTGAAGACTTAAGCAAGAAGGAATTTAGGCTTTTAGCTGTTAAGGATTTTTGTGAAGGAGCAGCAGTTCACTCTTGTTACCAGCGGGAGTGAGAGGTATTGCTGAATTTCCACACTGCTGTGCTATGACGTTGGATCTCTTTTAAAATGAAATGAATAAAGAATATTAGGTTACATCAAATCAGAGTAAGTACTGTAAATTGACAAATACTGGAGTTTCCAACATGAACATAAATAGTGATTATGGAAGCCATACGTTGGGATTATCTGTGCTCCAGAGTTTTACCTATGTATTTTTATGCGCTGTATAAAAAAGAGCTACTACAGTGGTATGTAACACATGACAGATATTAGCTCTTAATGTTGAAATCTGTTATTATTTAAAATGCAGCTTACCCACCAAAATGGGAAATAATTCCTTTAGAGCTGTTTTCTTGTATACTGAAGAACCTCAATTTTCTGTTTTTGTTAACTTATAGCAGTAGAAGAAGAAAATTGTAGTCACGCTAATAACTTTCAAATATCCTTGGGTGTAAATGCTTTCATAATCTATTGAGGATTTTTCTTTGCTTATCTGCAAATTGAAGGAAATGGGAAGGCATTCTGCTTTCAGCAGCATGTCACATACACAGTCCATGGGATTTGTGTGTGCGCCAATTGAGGAAGCAGGTGTGTGTGCTGGGGGAAGGGAAGGGCTGGTGGAATGCTCTGTTCTGACAGCCTTTTATGAGAAGAAAACATGTGTCTTTACAAGACATCTTGTTCATGTCTTTCCAAAGTGCACCTACACAGCCCACTCACATACAGCAGTCAGCTGCACGAAACACTTTCTGATGAATCATAAATTTAAGGGGTGGGTGGATGTGTGCACATGAATATTAAACTACTGTGTCTTCTAATTCCTCTCATTTGCATTCCCATACTGAATTTAGATAGTGAAGCCACTGACTTTGGTTTGAAAGGGGATTTGAGTTCACAATGGGAATGAAGAACACTTCAGACCTCCCAAACACCACATGCAGTTGCTGCATCACCGAATGTTTTATGCTACGCCTGTGGTCAGAGCAGTGAATTCTCACCATATCCAAAATCACTCGTAGATCCCAGGCACAGTTTCACTTGCTCACTGAAACGCCAGCGCTTCAGATGAGAGAAAGTATGGTGGTTGAATGACTCCCATATGTTAAATCATTCCTACAACAGTATTTTTGTTATAAACGCTTTTAAAACAGTTATTACCTGTACATTGTTTTTAGAGACCAATAGTTCATCTTTGGAAGGGCAAAGGAAATTAATTTTGAAACTACTTGAGAAATGCATTCCATGTGTTGAATACAAAAATATCCTTAATGTAACTGAAAACAAAGCGAAGAATCAGCATGCTTCTGAAGCACAGATTTAGGCAAATGTTAGAGTGATTGGGATTGCCAGGTTATGTAACTTCAGCTTCTCAGCACTGAGTCTGATTAAAGCCCTCAAGGGATTCTGAGGAAATGTGTGGATCCCAGAGAAGGTTGGAGCATTTTTTTTTACCAAATCTGGAGGTTCCTTTAATCGAGCAGACATTACCTCTGTACAAACAGGACTTTCTCTTCATCTGCTATCAGAGAGAACAAAGTGTGTTTAAACTGGCAAAGGGAACACAAAAAGGGACTTATCTTTGTTTTCAATTAAAGAAGAGTGGCAAATTTCTTCCTTACATGCTTTTTTTCACTGTTACTGTTTGGTTTTTTATTATTATTTAAATTTTTTGGTCATCTTTGAAATTCAGACTCCCTCCCTCTTGCTTTTTATTCCTTCTGTAAAGCTGCTTAGTTGGTTATAAAACGTCAACTGCCACTTGGAAGTAAACAAGGAGAGGATGCAGACAATTGTGGTCAGACAATACATCTTTTACATTTTTTGTTGTCCATTTTAGTATCATACATACTTTGGAAAAAGGATCTTTGTTTGTTTTGTTTTATAATAGAGGTGCAGCACCCAGTGCAGTAATTCTTGAGTAAGCTGAAACTGTTGGGTGAGAAAAGTGCACTGCTGTTAGCTTGTTAGAAAGCTTCCTTAGGATTTACCATGAGGTCATTTATTTATAGCAAGCCTTAAACAATCCTTTTAAATGTTTTAATAACTTTTAGTTAATTTTGAATTCTTGGCCATTGCCTCACCAAGATAATGAATGCACCTACTATTTCCCACTGCAATCACAGGTTCTTTTTAGAAGAAGCAGTATTTTGCAAGAACAATAGCAAGTAATGTACTCGAGTTGCAATATATTACCTCTTTGCAATTAAGCTTATTAATAACTTGATGTAAATAAATATAGTAGGTAGTTCTGATCCAACAGAAAACACAGCTGTAAAAGCAAAGGTCTGTTCTGTAGTTGTACTATGAACTGTAAAAGAGAAAGTTCAAAGCTTTTTTGTGAGACTTTGTTATTTCTTGCAGCTGATTACAAAGAGAGTTTTAATACCATTGGGAATATTGAAGAAATTGCCTTCAATGCCGTGTCCTTTACTTGGGATGTCAACGAGGAGGCAAAGGTAAGGAAAATCCATGCAGATTATATCCCTTTATAAGTATCATCCTTCCTCAGTCACTGCTGCACTTTTTTTCTATTAAACAAGGAGAATAAGAAGGGAAGGGAAGGTGAAGGTCTCCTGAAAGCCAGTCAAATGGTCTTTCTCTGACCAGACGGATTCTGGCCATCCAGAACAAGGAAGATGGTTTGTCAGAGCTGTCAGGATAACACTGATAACTGCATATTTTGATAATGTTACACAGACCATTCTTGTAATTGGGAATGAACATATTTTTGAGGACTGATCCATTGTGGTTTGTTTTGTTTTTAATGGTCAAATACCCTGCATTCGGATTGTGAATGCTACAGTGAACCTGTAAACCAGACCAGCAAAGCATATTATTAAGTGCCCTGTAGGTAAGGCATCCGAAGAGTAGCAGAGTGTTTCAGCTGCATGGACTAGGGCAGGAGAAATGAAAAGCTGCAGTAATTATAAGAACAAGTTTTCCTCCAGAAAGCAAATAGCAAGTGAAATTAGGCTGCGTAAAATGAATGGGGTTATTGCAAGACTCTCTGGGTCTCAGACATAATAAATTGACGATACTGTCACTCTTGATACTGTTTTTGTGTTTAACCCTGCCTGTGGCTGTGGAGTTGCAACTTGATGATCCTAGAGGTCCCTTTCTATTCAAGCCAAAGTGCCCAGCATTCAGGATGTGCTAAGGATCAATCAAATACGAAGACATCTTCATGAACAGTTCCCCACTGAATTTCTAACAGAGCAGTGTCATCTTTGTGAGACTGCAGAAAATGCAGTGTGGTAGCACTAACACTCACTATCCTGACCTGCTGATTGACGGTGCTGAGCTCTGTACTGACAGGGATTTTCACTGTCAATGTAAATTTTGTTAGAATAGAGCACTACATAAAGAAAAGGCAGTAGTTTTGAAAACTGACTTGCTCTTTCAGAAGGTAACCTTTATGAACAGTTGTACTTGGCCCAGTTGCTAATAATGCTGTATTTACTCACATAGTGATTACATTCTCACCGCCCTAGACACTCCCCTGCTATGTGATTCCATTTCCAAATACAGAGGTACATTGTCCTCCAGTCAAAACATATGACCATTGTATGCATGTGGTCATTGTGCCAGCAAATGCAGCAGTTCATTTGGGATTTCCAACATGATTGACTTTCATAAGGACCTTCACAGAAGCACTAACAGGGCTAAAGCATGGCAGTGCCATCTCTTCCTCCCACCAGTGATCACCATCCCATTGCCAAGCTGGCCATTTTTAAATACATTTGCATTTTCAGCCTCCAGATTTAGCAAGAAACTATGTTGGTCAAGAGTTGAGAAAGTTACAGCCATGGATGTCAGGTATTATCCTCGGCCATTTTGTTCTAGTATTGCACCACTCGTTCCTTCCTCAGCTGCCAAAACACTGCGAACACAGCTCTCACTATGATCACTGAAATATAACATTGGAGGATTTTAAAACAATGACTCTTATTGTTGCTGGTGTAAAAAAGTGTCGAGTAAAATTTGAGATTGCCATTTGCATTTCTGCAGGACATAGTGATTAAAATGCATATTGGCTTATACTTTTTCTTATTTTGAGGGGTGGTTATCAGATACTTAATCTTTTAGGTGCTTGAATTGCGAAAGTCTTGATAAAAGTAGGAGGATTCATTACATTATTTGGTTACCACGCATAAATCAGGTTGTAGCAGTAAGCTTGTCGTCATCCTGTGCTGAAGAGTTTCCCGTGTACACGTACACATACAGACATGCACGCTCTTGTTGGAGACTTTAATAAAATAACCAACTGCAGTCAGTCTGGGGATTCCCATAGGATCCCCCTGCAGTGTTTGAAAGGTATGGACTTGGAGTCACGTCACTGAAAGCAGATTTTTCTCCAGCAATTACCTCATGCAAGAGAGATGAAGAATTTCAAGCCCTAATTACAGACTCTCCTTGCTTAAGCATTTTGAATGATGATCTTTAAACTGGCTCCATTGTTTCTGCTCAGTGTTGTTTTCCCTTTTCACCACAATTTCCAGATTAAAGGTAACCTCACAGGCACAAAGACCTTTCTCTTCTGAGTCAGACAAAAGCAGCACAGAGCAGTTCTTTCCAGGGCCTCTGAGATGCGATGTGATGAAGCGCTCTACTGGCCCGGGAAAAAATAAAAAAATAGAGCAGGCTTTAGAACTGCACAAGGGAGTGATCTTAAAAAATCAAACAGGAGGAACAGAAGTCACCTAGCCAAATATCCCCACTCCTGGGAGACCAAATCCTGTATCTGGGAAGACTTACCTCGAGCATCAGGCTTCTCAGTGCTCCACCTGGAGGGCAGCTGATTTAAAGCCAGATATTTTTCTCCTCCTACACTCAAGCTGAATTATACTTTCCTCCTGGAAACCTCACAAGATGAGAGTGACAACCAGAATTTGCCTGTTAGCAGTCAGTCTGCTTAGGAGTTATAAGGCAGCATCTCAGTTGCATCTTAAGTGAAGAAATGTGTGTTTAATGAATTCAGGCAGAGGTCTTTCTATTGCCTCAGTAGCATGGAAGGAACTGGGGTATTGCCTCTTTTTAGAAGGGGTAACCTCTTTCTAGAGGTTACCGTGGGGCTTATTGTTCAGACTTGGGATATGGGGAAGTGAAGGATCTACAGCTGTCAGACTCTTTGAGACAAAAATACTGTGTGATAAGGAAATAATGATAGGAAGTAAAGAACATTTTTTGTATGGTCCATCTTTGTTTCACTTATGTATTTACTTATGTATGCAAGCACTCAGCATTTATGGGCAAAGTGATTTGTTGGTTCCCTTTAGCTGAACCTGAGCACCATGTTTGTTATTTTAAAAATAATTCTTTAAAGGAAGGTGAGGAAACAAACAGCAGTTAACAAGAACTGGCTGACTAATTTCATCATCTCTTAAAAGTCTTTTTATGATATGCTAAGAGGTAGGTAGTTGCCTTGCTGTTGCTGTAATGAAGGTTTTGCTGCAGTATTTGGCTGCTTGACAAAGTTTTAGTGGAGGCATTTGAACAGAGAGCTCAGCTTGCTTTTTGATAGACATACCTCTGCACGCTTGCAGTTTTATTGCTGGCAGAATTTAGTTTGCAAGGAAGGTAATTAAGAAGCAGAACACTCCTAGCAAAATTAGGTTATTTTTGTAGTAAATCATACCAGCTCTTTGAGATATACCTTCTTTCTAATTAATACTTTTCTAATTTAAAATGGTTAGGGTGATGTAACCTTTGAAACAATACAGTATTTGTATATTTTTCTGGACAGTGCTTTTCCATCCTTGAATTCTGAGGTGTGACTTCAGTGAACAGTGGTGAAGAAAACTCACTTAAAGCAGATAATGAATACTTTTCAGTGATAGCAAAAAATTACTGACTTATGCAAAGACATCCAACTTGGACATGCAGTAAACAGATAAGTTGGTGGATATATTATTCATGTAGGTGTTGGCACATAGTTTTTGGTAGTTGTGTGCTGTGCAGTTGTATTGATATGTAGCTCTCTAATTCAAAATATGCTGAAGCCCATGGGAACCTTTCCAGTTATTAAATGACTTTTGGCACAGCCGATGCAGTAATAAGCTGTGTTTTCAAAGAATGAGTGATTTGGAGGATTGGGTTCTTAAACATCATGGACTGCAGTGAGCTATGATTCCAGTGGGTGCAGATGTAAAATGGAGTTGATAAAACAGTACAGTCTGTAGCAGCAATTTGTAATGCGACAGTTCATATATCTTTAACACCAGTAGGAATATGTAGGAAAAAATTTCTTAAAATTATAGAATATCTTAGGCTGGAAGGGACCTTAAAGACCATCTGGTTCCAGCATCTCTGCTGTGGACAGGATTGTCACCTGCTAGGTCAGGCTTACTGAGGCCCCATCCAACCTGGCCTTAAATGGATGGGCTATCCACATTTGGGCAGCCTGTCCTAGTTCCTCATCACCTTCCAATTTCCCCTTTGCATCTAATCTAAACTTCCCCTCTTTTAGTTCAAAACCATTCTCATTGTCCTGTCTCTATCAGACCATGTAAAAAATCAGTGACATTTTATCTTTTTATCTTTTTATCTTCATCTTTATCTTTTTAATCTTCATATAAGATCCCTTTAAGTACTGAAAGGCCACAATGAGGTCTCCCTGGAGCATTTTCTTCTCCCAGTTGAACAACCCCAGCTCTCTCAACCTTTCTTCATTGGAGAGGTGTGCCAGCCCTCTGATCATTATTGTGGGTCTTCTTCGGACCCATTCCAACAACTCCACATCTTTCTTGTGCTGGGGGCCCCAGACTTGGATGCAGTACTGTAGGTGGGGCCTCATTAGGGTAGACCAGTGAGGGACAGTCCCCTCCTTCCTTCGCCCTGCTGGCTACACATGGACATAGAGCTGTTGACCACAACTCTCTGGTTGCAATCATGCAGCCTGTTTCTTATCCATTGAATATTCAGTCCTCTTCAAATCCATCTATCTTGAATTTAGAGGTAAGGATATAGTGTGGGACCGTGTCAAAGGCCTTCAGAACTCCAGGTAGATGACATCAAGTGATCTTCCCTGGCCCAGTGATGCTGTTATTCCGTTATAGAAGGCTGCCAGATGGATCAGGCATGATCTGCCCTTGGTGAAGCCATGCTGGCTGTCTCAGATCACTTCCTTGTCTTGCATATGCCTTACCATAGCTTCCAGGAGGATCTATTCCATGGTCTTCCTAGGTACAGAGATGAGGCTACCAGACTGTATTTTCCCGGATCTTCCTTTCTACTTTCTTAAAAATGAGAGTGATATCTCCCTTTTTCCAGTCCCCGGGGACTTTCCCTGAGAGTCACGTATTTTCATACAAGACGGAAAGTAGCCTGGCAACTACATCAGCCAGTTTCTCCAGGACTCCAGTATACATGTTGTCCAACCCAATAGATTTGTACACATTACATTTCATCAGATGATCTCGAACACACTCCTCACTCACAGTGGGAGGGATTTTTGCTCCCCCAGGGACAATTTCCCAGAGGATCTAGAAGTTCACTCTTCTAAAGTTCATCATCCTGACTTTGCTCTTTGCCAGGCCATATTCCTCGAGATCACAAGCTCAGCCAGGGTGCGGTTGCTGCAGCCCACACTGCCTCCAATCTTAACCTCTTAAATGAGTTCATTTGCATTGGTGAGCACTAAGTCCAGTAATGCTTCTTTGTTTGGTCTATCCAGTACCTGGATCAGGAAGTTATCCTCAACAGACTCCAGAAGTCTCCTGAATTGCATGCAGTCTACCGTTTTGCTTTCCCAGCAGACATCCAGGTGGTTGAAATACCCCATCAGGATGAGAGCCTGCAAGTGCGATGCTTCTTGTTGCTGAAGTGCAAAGGCTTTGATTAATAGGGGATAAGTTAATATTTTCTTATTTTTGAAATTTGAAGGCTGGAGAAAAAACTATTTTTGGGGGAGGAATTAGTTCCAGGAATTATGTAGTATTATACTTGTCATCTGCTTTGATAAATCATATCTGCAAGTGTAAATGTGCATATATATCTTTACTATATATATATATATGTTTAAGCATGCAAATATATCTAAACATCGAACATCGAATCACTAAGGTTGGAAAAGACCTCTAAGATCTTCTAGGCCAACCATCCAACTACCACCAATAATACCCACTAACTCACATCCCATAGTATCTCTCCTTATGCTAAAGACAAGTTAACCCATGCGAGCAAATCATGTTGAAATTTCACTGTAGACAAATGGTTCAGTAAGTATGCATCTGGGATTCAAGGCAAATGGCATTTTTATGTAGTTGCCGGGGTGTGGTGTAGATTGAGGAAGCTTCAAAAGAGCAGTGTAAACATTTACTAGAGACATTTGTATTGAAATAAAACAAAGATCTTACCTTTGCATGGGATTTATAAGGTAACGGCTGGCAGGAGAAACTATAAAACCACAGTTTTTGTATGTAGGAGGAACGATGGGATTGATGTTAGTAATTAAAGAGACAAGTCGTTTAACCTCTTCTTGCTACAGTCTGGAGGGATGAACCCTTTTAAAACAGGGCCATTAGGATTTTGCAGAGAACAGTCACCAGGCATAGCTTCTATGCATTATCAGTATCCAGTAGAGAAATTGCTTAAAGTTTCTGATTCTGTGGATAACACTCTTTCCTCCCTTCTACCCATGGCTCTTTCTGAGCTGATGGAAGTCAGAAATGTAAATAGTAAAAAATTTATATTAGAGATTTCGTAACTGCAGACCTTTAAAGTGTGTAAACTAAGAAACCACAGCAGGAGTCACGTTGGCTGGATTAAATGATAAAAGGGGAAATGTGTTTCTGAGCCTTGCTTTCTTAAGGCAGGTTACTGTATTTGGATCTTGTACATCACTAATTACACTGCAGTGTTTAACAAACAGCCAGTAATTCATGTAATAACAGCTACATGTAAAGGAGCTCAAAAGAGAGTGCATTTTTTAGGCATGCTCTTTTACAATCAGAAGAGTTGTCATTATCTTAGGCCATTTTTGAAGCTTTCTCAGGCACCAAATGTTTCTCCAAATTAGTTTTTCATTGCTAATAGCATGTCTGAGCTGGAAACTCGATGGGAGGAACTCTATCATTAATTGCTCTAATCTCAGATACGCTGACTTTGTAGAAAAGGCATCATTATAGTGACAACTCAAACTTGATCCTGAGAGCAAAACCTTGCTAAAATCCAATTTGCAAAGCAGAAAAAAAGTTTGTAAATGAATTCAGGTACAACCATAGTTGCATCCATTAAAATAGTTCTAACTCAAGTGTAGACGGGGCCCTGGAGAAAAAAAAAGCAGTGATTGCTACTCCTGCTAGTGTCAGTTCTACTTAACTCTACGCTATCTAACCACATAACCTTGCTGTGCAGGAGGCCAGAGCAGGAAGGCTCTGAGAGCTTAGTGCCTCCCCAGAGCTGAGGGCCTTCCCCTGCTTGAGGCTGCCCGTGGGGCCACGTGCTGTGCTGCTTGCCTCAGCTCACTGTGAGCTGGTGGCAGGGGCTGCGCTGGGGGGGCGAGAGGAAGGCTAAGTACAGGGGGCAGAAAAAATACTTCACTCAAGTAACACAACTCTGTCATCTTCCTCTTTGCTCTGCACCCTCCCTCCCTTTTCCAAACTCTCACTCAGTGTTGTGCCCTAAAGGAAAGCTGGTAGATTGTGAGGGGAGAGAAAATTTTTACAACAATAAATGATATGTGTTAATTCAAATCCATCTGTCTTTCCATGGGGCACAAGTGAGATGACAGAAAGTAGTGTACTCTTTGTGCACATAAACCTAAAGTGATCATCACTCCTCAGAGAGCTCCTGATGTATTGTGGTGTCACGATGACGATATTAAATCTCGCAGCACCAATCTGTTATTCTTATGAGTAATCCACTATATGAGGACTCTCAAAGCCATAAAGTCTGTTTTGCCCCATCTCTCCTACTGTGCTCTGTATGCCTGGAGGCAGGCAGTGGGAGAGGTGACACGCAGAGGATGTGGTTGATGAAGGTAGGACAAGACCTTTCTTTGACTTTTGGCTGAGTGTGCAGTAGGGGTGGTGGATGCAAAGCCTATCTGTCCTTTCACACTTTAATGTACAGTTTGGAAAATCCCACTGTAGAAGTATGTGCTGAAGCACAGCGGGGCAGGATTGTTTCATGCCAGACCTCATTCCAGTGCTCTGTGTTCACACTCATTTTAAAGCACTGCCTTGATGCTGTAAAGGAGTCTCAAGGCAAATGAAAATTCAGGCCATCGTATTTCAAAGGCATATGCACCCATATCCACACTTACCTTTGGATCTGGAGGAGACCAAGTTGTAATTTGAAACAGAAATAACACTATCAGTTTCAAAATCAGAGTTTCACCTAGGGCCCTTCCCCACCTCCCTCCTCTCCCCACAGTTAAAGTTCAACTATTTCATTTGTAAATGCAGCCCTGCGATACCATCTGAAGCAGAAATGCAGAGGTGCTATTAGCTCAGTCAGGCAAACAAGCTGCTCTGGCTCCATCGTAAAAACCTGCCTGTAATGTACCTTCTGCCATTAAGGTAAAGTATCCTCCACCAGTTGCACCAGAGACCTTTATTCTGAGCTCACCTTTCTTTTGGGGATGTTTGCATTTTGTTCATTCGTTTTGGGTTTTTGCCCTGTTTATAGTCAAGCGGGAAGACTTCCTTCATTCTTGTGTCCTCCCAGACCCTGGGGGCCATTGGCCTCACCTTTGCCTGGCAGGGTGTGCATTTGTGGTGTTCCAGAGCGCTTCTCACTGTGCTCATCCTGCTGGAGCAGCTGCATATCAGTGTGGCTCAGGGAATGCACACTGAGTTTTTTCTGTCCTTTTTCATACTTCCCAATGCTTGTTTTTTTTTGTGTGTGTGCTTTGTTGTTGTTGTTTCTTTTTTTAACTAAGCACAAGTGGAAAGTAGAATTATTTTAACACACAATTGGTAAAAATTCGTATGTAAAGCACAAATTCCTCCCTGGGAAGAACAATTGCTTTTTTAATACAGTTTCATCTCTCATATTTCATGCACGCTGCCCTGACTGAAAGATCTTAGTGATAATGCAGATCACAGTAGCAGCATTCTTTACACCAAAAGCAGCTTGGAGGTGGGAGACCCTTCTGCCAGCTTCTATATGAACATAAGGGAGAAGCGATAGTTCGTACGCCATTGTATGTTTTAGAAAGCAGATGATAACTACTGGTTATCTGCAGATGTAAGTATGTGTAGTAGGAAAGCATGAGAACAGGTTTCTGAAGAACAGACAGGCAGAGTTTGCCAGGGATTGAAAGCATTGTCGGGTTTCATAGATGCTTCATAGAAGCGGTGGGCTTCTGAGAAGAGGTAGGAAGTAGCATTAGAAATGTTTGAGGAGCTTTCTCCCAGTTTGACAGAGAAGGCGAGATGCTTTTTGGACACTGAAGAGAGAATGTGAAGGACCCTCATAATGAAGATTAGGGCTATCTGGTAATGAGATGGAAGAAAGAGTATTGGTGTTAGGAGCATGGAAAAAATCTTTGAAAAAGTGTAGGATTTTTGCTTGGCCACACTGAATGTGAGTTGTGAGATGTCAGAAGAACAAAGATGTCAGACCCAAAGATAGCTGGAAAGAACAATACAAGGTTATCTCACTGTGTCTGTGTTAACAAATAGTATAAATGTACAGATCAGGTTTGTAGAGTGGAACAAGTCAGGGCTAAAAAACCGACATCCATGTGAGACATATTTTTGGAGGTTTTATCTTACATTATCTTTAATCAATTCCCACGAACTGAGCAGCCATTAGCAGCTTGAGCATCCGGGGTGTGCTTCTGGGTCATTTCTGCCCTGACTCTTCCCAAAAGAATCCAGTTTATGCACACTGGCTCTTTGAACCAAGACATGGTAAGTTGGGGCAATCAAGTGATTCACCTCAGTCGGGAACTGAAACTAACTAAAGCATTGATACATGCCTTAAAAATTCCCCTTCTCAATGTGGCAGCACCTTTGGACTTAGGACAGAAGTGGAAAATAAATAAATGTGTGAGTTGTCAGAGTGGAGATACTGTCTAAATTAATATTTTTGGGGGGAGATCTGCTCTTCCCTATTTGTTTCCAGAAGTTTAGTGGTTGTTTGCACCTCATTTAAGGTCATCTCTCTGTCACACAGATTTTCATCACAGTGAATTGCTTGAGCACAGACTTCTCTTCTCAAAAAGGTGTAAAGGGGCTTCCTTTGATGATTCAGATAGATACATACAGCTACAACAACCGCAGCAATAAACCCATCCACCGAGCCTACTGCCAGATCAAGGTTTTCTGTGACAAGGTAAGTGGAATGTACAATTACCATGGATAAAGGAGGCACCTCATTTGACAGTTTGTTATTATTGCTGTATTTCAAATCTAATACAAAGTTTTTCTCCCCAGTGAATTATGTTTCTTGGTAGAATTTGGACTTGATGTATCACGAATCTATGAGGTTTTCACCCAGTTATTTTACTGCTTTGCAGCCTCTTTGGCCCTGATTCTTTGGCTTGTGAGCAATAGTTGGACTGTGCAGGGACAGCATACTATAGGTCATGGCACACGAAGATCAAAATAGTCACAGAATGCACTAGGATGCATCTCTGCTTGAAAAGTCAACACTGACCATAGGATTATGCAAGTGCCATTCTGATGGTGTTATACCTTCTACTTCTAACAGTCAGGATAGGCAACTTTGTGGAAAGATCTGTGATAGAGAAATGTTTTATTCAATAAAGGTTTGGTAATTTGTCTTTAATGACCCATTAGAAAGTCCCAGTGATGTAGCATGGCTTCTTTACTGCTTGATTACAAACAGCTATTCTGAGGGCTAGAATGAAAATTTTCATCATTGGAATTTTCTTATTCAAAACCAACTGCAAAAATATGTTACACATTCTCATGTTGTGTTTCAGTATCTTTTGTTTCTTGCTCATTTCTTTTGCATAATTTATTCCTTTACAGTGGTTTTTTTCTCATTCCTTTGTAGGGATTGGTAAAATTTGGTGGGATACTTTTCAATATCAAAACATAGATCACGTTTTAATGAGTCTGATAACGTGATGGTCAGCTGTTTATATCACCAGATAGAAACAGTTGCTCTGAAATGTTATCTCTGTGATGACAATTCTTAAATGTATAGCATGACTACGTTTCATTTGTGCTTAACGCCTGGCATCCCCGCTGGGAAGGATCTTCCTGGGGAGGGTTGATGCCTGGATTCTCGTCAGGGTTCAGGGATTCAGGAGCTTGCATCTATTTATGTGACTTGGAAATTTATCCAAATTAGTCTTCCTATCTTACAGATGGGAGCAGAAAGTCAAAAAGCCTTGCCCCTGGCAATACATGGCATTAACTTTGTAATGGAAAGGGCAGGAGTTCAACTGTTCCAGGTCTTTGCTATTGCTCCTTCCCCTTTTTCAGTTAGTTCTGTTCTTGTTGTCTTGACAACAGGATCTTGAGGGCTAATTGGTCAGTTGTATTACGGGAGTAAAAAATTTTAAAGTAATGAATGTAAATGTATGCACCGAGGTCTTCTTGCAGTCAAAGTGTTACGCTTTTAATTGTAACTTTGAATGTCAAATATTTGGAGATTTGAAGGTACAGATAGATATTAAAAGCTCCGTAAATATCAAAGTAGCAAATCATTTTCATCTACCTCTTTTTGAAAAGCAATTAGAAAAAAATTGAATTATTAAAAGAAAGAAAGGAAATTCAGAGCGCACACTCATCAAGGGTGACCCGCAGACACAACTGGTGGAGATTTTGAATAATACATGCTCACTGCATCTATTGGCTTAATTGGTACTTCAAACATCCAGATGAGGAAGCAGGAAATTAATGTTAAGACTTCTAATCAAAACTGTCTCAAAGTAGAAGAAGAGATCACAGGGGTAATTAAAGCATTATGCGTATCAAAACTATTGAAACTTGGAACTGGAGGGCTCAAGGGTATTGATAATGAGATGTGTATCATATAAAATAAATGTATACATGCATACACACACGCACGATGCTTTTCAACTTAAGGCAAGGCTGAAAATGAATTAAGTAAATAAAAATGAATGAAAATTATCTAGGTCAATTCATATGACAACTGGTGTTCGTTGGCACTTGGAAAGAGGCTGAAGCCCAATTCTCCTCTCACTTCACACAGGCCTATCTTTACTGACATTAGTTTGTCATTATGCTTTTGTCCATCAATAAACGGTTGGAGAATCAAAACTCCTGTGCCAGCTCAGAGTGGCAATTGCACTCCTGTCCACATGGGAACCATCCTGTGTTTCTCACAATGCACATTGCACTCAACTGCAGACAGCTGGTGGAGCTGGACGTGGCCATCTTTTCCAAGGTGCCAGAATATATCCTGGCAGTGGCTGACACCATGCTGGGTGGAGGGTCGCTCCTCCAGGTCTGTTACTCGCCCTGTAGTGAAAATGACAGGACTTAGTGGCTGCTTGGTGAAGGCAACAGAGCAAAGACGATTTTTTGCCCGATTCCTTGTTGTGATTAATTAAAAAAATATTATAGAGCGATTGTAAGCAGCAAGCATATAATCATTTGATACATTTTAAAAGTCTGAATTGCACCGTTATTCCCCAATCTGGCAACCACAAACAGAAGCTGATAAGAAAAGTGATTGATTTATTAAAATTATCTGGATTAGGGGAACTGCAGGGTAAATTCCTCCACTGAAGTTCTGAAATGTATCTTAGTTTGAAACACTGAAGAAGAAATATTTGTTTCTGTCTGTTTTTGTAAATGGTCTGTCTGCAGCTGTGGTGCCTCTTTCAGAGCAGTAGATGTGTTTATCCTAGTTAAAACACAGGTAGACGTGTGTAGGTTTTAAGGCAAACATTGCTGATAAACTACATCCTTCAGCTGAAACATAGCATACATGCTGTGGAAAAAGTATCTGAAGAAATAGAACTACATCTAGCTAAGTAGCACATATTTTCTGTTTATTAGTATTCACTTGCACACTTACTGAAATTTAATATTCTTTTACATTTAAACTAGAAATCCACACAGATCCAATGTATTCTTTATGTAGCATAAATGTATGCAGATAAGGGCTGCAAGTGGTGTAATCATTTTTGTTCCCTATTCATTCTCCAACCTTTTTTCCGTGTTTATTTTCTAGTAGACAGTCTTGAAAGCAGCTGTTACAGTGCACGTTTTGTTTTCTCAGTGCTAATCCGCTTTGCCCTTGAGGTCTTTTTTATCACATGCAGATCTCTTATGCTACATTAAGATAAGAGAATATAATTTTTATTCCTTAAGTATGTTGTCAAGGAAACTTGCTGCCAGCCCTATTTATATATTGCAAGATGCTTTAGCCACTGAGTGTGAAGGAACTAGTAATTCAGGGACATTCGGATTTTCTGTATGTGATTACTTTGCTAAAAAGAAGCAGAAGCACTTGATTGGGCAAATATCATAACACTCCAAAGTAAAAGTGGAGTTGTTTTCTGTGGATTGTTAAAGGGTACTGAGCAACTGTATAATCCTGCTTGTCTTCAGCTCTGGAGAGAAAAAAGCTGGAGTCTATGGGTCTGTCCTACCAGGTGGGAATTCTTTGGCCTTAATCTAGAAAAAGGTGTACATGTGAGCATTGTGATGGTGATGGGAGTGATCCTTAGGATGGTAAAGGCTTTGCTGGGCTGGAGCTAGAGTGCTTCACACCTTGCAAGACATAACCTTAGAGGAATTGAAGACTGGGGGGAAAAAAAAGCACAAAACATACTTTGAATCAGCTGAAATTCATAGGCTGGGTTTTGCTAATTGTTGATGGTAGTACTAGTTGCATTGTAAGCATTCCAGACATCAGTGAAAAATGAAAAGCTCCCTACGTAGTTTGGCTGGTCAGAGCCTGATTTATAGCTCCCTATGACAGGGTTATTTCTTATTCTGTCCTGATATGCAATTTCTGATTTATTGAATATGTTATATGCCTCAGCTGTGAAAATGGTCCAGCAAGAATAGTGCTGTGCAAAAATCCTGTTGTAGACCATTGTCTCAGCACCTGTAGCAAGCATATACATTATGCAGGCTTGGCTGGCCCTGCACAGTGCCTTATGGGCTGCTCATTGCTCAGAAGGGCCAACAGGTGGTCTTAGGAGCCCAGAAGCAGTTCCAGCCTGTTTCACCTCCCACTGTGCCTCTTAATGGTGGTGTCAGTGAATTATATTATGCAAATCTTTTAAACTGCCAAGCACTTCTCTATCTTACCCAGCATTTTTAGTGAGAACCTTTCCATTCATGTCAATGGGCTTCATATCCAACCTGCCTCAGATTGTTGGCTTTCTCAGGAATCTCTGTCACCGCATTGCTGAAGTGACACCAGTAAGTACTGGTAGGCAAGGAAGGCTACCATGCTTGGCAGTCACAGGGGACTTGGGTGTCTAATCTTAAGCATGTGAGAACAAAGCTGCCATACTTTCCTGGGCTGATAGTTAAAGAGACAGTTGAGGAAAATCCAAAAACATACATTCTTTATTGTGTATAAAAAGCTGAGTCCTCCTCAGCTTCTGCTCTCCTGAAACAGCTGCTTGCTGCCATGTGAAAAAAAATTGCTTTCAAAGTCTGTCCCAACACCTGTGAGCAGTCAGCTGTGACAGAGAGGTAGGATTGAGGCCTTTAGAACACTGGCAGTGGGGCATATTTTTGCCTTTGTCAAAGAGTAGGAAGCCTTGTAAGCAGTTTTGCTAAGAGCAGAACTCTGAGTCCCTCAGAGTTCACACAACACCTGTGGCTGATCTCTGTGAGAACTGGGCTGGGGCCTGGGTCCAAAGGCAATGTTTCTGCTGGACACCTTCATGTTTTTTAAATAGATGTTTCTTCCTCCACTCTTCCTTTGGAAAGTCATTGATAGTTTAAAGCCAGAAGCAGATATTTTCTGTAGTCCTTTTTGAGCTTGGTTCATTGGCTTACGTGTGAATTTTGCCTTCTTGAGAAAAAAGTTTTTGCTTTCTTTTAGAGAAACTTCTAATTTTAATTCATAAAAAATCCTTAAGTTTTGCATGCCGGTAGTCTGGGAGCATATGGATCTTTAATAGAGTTCACCAGATGACTGTATTCATATTTGTAAGGTAAATTAGGAGAACTTCAAAGGAGGTGTTACTGCTTTTTATTTCAATAACAACTTCTATTTTCTAAACTTACCAAGAAAGTATTTACACAACAGGGGCCTGAAACTTCCCAGGAGTTCCTAGGACCTAATAGGGTAATGCTATGATGCTTTCCAGTTTCTCCAGGGCTTCTCCCTGTTTGAAATACCTGTAGGTTTCTGTAATGAGCCTTTGCATTGCAAACAAGCTGTTGGTGTAGTGTTCTTGCATTGGCAAATCTCAAAGGACTTTATAGAGCTGGCCAGCATAAAGTAATCCTGCCCACAAACAAGGTGGGTGGAGGGGAGTTTAGGGAATAGCTTAGCACAGACGTGATCTAAAATGACAGCAATCCTGCAGGTGCTTTATGTACACACATGAATTATGTGGCTTGAGAGCTCCATCCTTTGCTGAGGTGCTGGAAGCACAAAGCCCTTTGTGCTGGGTGGTGGCAACAGGCCTCCTCCAGACCTCATGCTGCTTAAGCCATTGGTCCCATCTCCTCCACGCCAGCAGCAGTGATGCACACGGGTTTATTCCTCTTCCTGACTTAAACCCTGGGGGCTGCTGGATGCACCAGCCCAAGTTTCAGATACAGGTGCTTAATACAGAGTGGGCTGATCGTCCACACTCCCCAACAGCCTGGCTGCATTTAGCTGTAATGAGATAACCATTCTCCATTTGTGCATTTTTGATTGCACGACATGATGCTCTCAGTGGTTCGTTCCTCTTGGGCTAATAATATCTGTGGGTTGTCTTTTTTGCATCAGGGAGCAGAAAGGAAAATCCGAGATGAAGAAAGGAAGCAGAATAGGAAGAAAGGCAAAGGTCAAGCATCCCAAGCCTCCTGTAATAACTGTGAGTAAGATGGGCCTCTCTGTTTTGGGCTAAGTCTTTCTTCGCATGCCCTCTCTCATAGCTGCATTACTTTGTGATCCTCCTAGCAGCTGAAGGAAAGCTGAGTGCACTCCCTCTGCAAAAAAAGAGTGATATAACTTTCTTCAAAACAATGACTGACCTGGATTCCCAGCCAGTTCTCTTCATACCAGATGTTCACTTTGGAAACCTACAAAGAACTGGACAGGTAGGAAATAATAATGGGACGAGCAGGTGCCCACCTGCCATCCGACTGCATGTGCTCTGAGGCAGACTATTTAAATACAAAGCACTGTTATTGGTGGTTGCTTGTTTCAGCTCTTGGTTTTGGTAAATGCGGCTCATGGTGAATAATTTAGCTTGCAGGAGTCAAATGTTTTTCTTAGTTCTGTGTGCCCAAAAATAAATTTATACTTCATTAATAACAGACTATTTTATGTTTGTTATGATTTTGTCATTCTTTTGCTAGTACAGAATGGAAGAAGAAGTCAAGAATTTTGAACTAGTATGATTTGTAACTAGAAGTCTTTTTTGAATGTTTGATTTGTCTTGATGAGATGAAGTGCCACCTGGTGGCAGAAGAGATCTCCCTGTCTGGAATGACTGAAAACAAAGACTAAACTCATTGTACAAGGGTAGGCTTATGAAACACTACTGCCCATTCTCTGTAGATGTAGCAACTCTTTAGAAGGAAGTATACAGTATAGTATGGGAAGTAAAATTCCATCATACTGATGCGTAATAACACATATTTAGTTTTGGCTTAGTGCTGAAGTCATGCAATCATTATCACTAGTAAGTATGAGGAAGTATCCTGACCTGATTTTTTAAGACCTGCTTTATTACTTGGTGGGAAATTGCAAACCTGAATTTTCAGGTCAGCTCTGACAGTTTTTTCAAATATGAGCTTGTTATTTATTAGCTTCTCAGGAAGTGGAATGAGATATTTCTGTATGTGTTTATAAAGATAAATAGTAGATGATGCAACTTTACAGACATCTCACAGCAAAATATTAAAACAATGAAGATTAAATGATACGGAGTTTGAATTCTATTTATTGTAAAGCTGAGAGGATTGCGGTAGAGCAGAGCACGAAGAGTGCAGACATTGCAATCACAGCTGTCACTGACTCGCTCTCCCAAATTGGAAAGACGCCCACTCACATATCAGTGCTGGTACCTTCTGTCCTCATGGCTTTCAAAACAGAGTGTGGATTTGTCTCATAACAGAAGAAAGTGGAAGCATTCTTCAGTGTATGTAATCCTGTAAATAATTTCCCAAACAACTGGAAGATGCTTTAGGCAATGTTCAGCCCTGTCTTCTGCTCTATAAGTTGTAATGTGTTCTTGCTAGCCTGAACTTTTAAAATTGCATACTGGGTAATATTAGAATGGTTTATTGTGACGGTGTTTTGTAGCTCCTGGACTTCAAATGCATTTCATATACTGCAGCATTCAGCTTTACACACACCTCTGAGTGTTAACCTGTACAAACTGTACAGGCTCAGAAGTCAAACCTTTAAGTGACAGCCAGATGTGTGCTGCATCTCATCAGGGCTCCAATGCCCTGCCTTCACCCCACACTGGCTCAGTAGTTCAGCAGCTGAAATACGGGTATTCTTCTTGGTACAGACCCACACTGCAGGCATCATATGAGGAATTTGGCTGACTGTTGTGTAAAGCCTTCTGTCATGGGCTTGGATTTTATACCGCTGCTGCTACTGTTGGCCACATTTGTTGCTGTTGTAAATCTGGTCCCACTGAGTGTGAGCTATGCTGATTTAGACAAAACTGTGGTCTGGACTTGTTCTCCTGCCACAGCCTGTGCAAAAAGAAGATCATCCGTACCATTAGCAATTGCATTTGGGCTCTGGTTTAATATTGGTCCTGATTGTTTAATTAGGTTTTCAGACAATATTAAATATGTATAAAAAGCTTTTGAGTGTTGTGGCTTAAATCGTATTAAGGATAATTTGAGTGATTAGTGATCTGATTTAGAAAATCGTAAAATAAATGGAAAAATTATATAAAACAGATGAGAGGACAAAGTCTGTCAAAATACTTTGATATATTTCAAATAGATGATATTCAACAACAATTTTTCAAAGCTGCACTTTATCCTGACCAAAATTAGAACTGGAGATGTGTGTGTTTCATAGAAGATAGATTTTTAACAGATCAAGAACTGCAAACCACTTATCTTTTCTCCCATTTGAAGCTACTTTGTTAAGCATGTGTCAGTTTTTGGAATAATTATTTCTCTCTCCTTCTAGGTTTACTATAATACAGATGATGAGAGAGAAGGGTAAGACATTTATTGTTTCATCGGCTTTGCAGTTAGCAGTACAAATTCACAGAAAGCAGGCATAAAAATATGAACTGATCCCACTCTCCCCCTTTCCTCATGTTCTCTTATCACCAATGATAGGTGAATATTTTGTAGAAATGGTAGAGAGAAGGTTTAATGTATAGCAGCTTAATTTTCCTTTACGTGAACTGTCTTCCTTTTATGCCTATTTTTTCTTACATTTCTCTGTAAAACAATTTGAAGATCTGTAAGGTTCAACACAAGGTTAGGGCAATATATTTGATAATAAAGAGTCTTATGTAATGGTCTTCAAATAATCATAAAACCATGAATTGTTTAATGAAGCACTAAAATTCACTCACATTCCTGGAAGCTGTTTAACAGCACTCATGTGCATGTGACAAATAGAGCAAATGCAGAGCAAACGCCCCAATATCAGAAGAGAAAGGAAGGAGAATCCTGGGAAGGGAGAAGACTGGAAATGGGAGTGCTCACTGTCTGGCTTTAGAGGGACTGGAAGAATTACAGAAAGTCTCTAAAATAGAGAGTCACAAAATAAGGACTTGAACATGTGTGGCTGGAGTTCAGCCAGTATTAACTGTGAGGCATGCATCCCTCACGCCTTTCTAAGTTGGTTGAATCTCAAGAGATCAAGCTCCAATCAGAGAGTTTGAAGACAGACAGTTGAACTCACCAGTGGTCACAAAAGGTGGACTGTGGTTGTGGTGGCTGAGCACCAACAGCTAACATTGACTTCAAAACATGAGGCCCTTTCTGTTCCTTCTGTGAAGCTGATGTTCTTCATAAGGCTCACAGTGGAATTTGAGCAACAAAGGGTGTTATTGCACTAACCACATAAGCCTTAACTCTCTCGTGGCCATCATGCTATGAGCCCTCAGCTCCCTGGCAGGGCCTGTCACAGCTTTGGGCTGGATCTGGCTCCAGGTTTTACTCCTTTTGAAACTCACTGTGTTGTGTGGCCTTGGACTTTAGAAGTGCTTTTGGTGTTTTCTAAGGCTCTCTCCAAAAACAGAGAATGCAAAGTGCAACTTCTCCCAAAAGAGATGAATGGATATACAAATGTGAATTCACCTCTTTACTCAGTTGCTTCTTCCTCACCAGCTCTTCCAGTGCCTAAATATGTATTTAAACAGCTAAGAGTCTTGAGTGTTTTCTAAATAATATGTCACGCTGAACATATTATTTCCTGTCACCTGTCCCAGCCAGTCAGTCTAGGCAACTTGAGAGGCTTGGAGAGTTCAGATATGCATCAAAAGCTAAATCTATACAATTTCTGGTCTGTTACTTGAGTAGCTAGCAGGTCTTTTGCCAGAGTTCCTTTGTACTTTGAGTGATAACTGCTGCTGTTGTCTCTTTCCTGTTGGTGGGAGCACAGTTTTCCATGACATGGCCCCTGTTGTATGTCTTCTAGTAGCAGTGTCCTGGTCAAGAGGATGTTCCGACCTGTGGAGGAAGAGTTTGGTCCATCCCCTTTGAAACAAATGAAAGAAGAAGGCCTGAAAAGAGGTAATTATCAATTCTTAGTGGTTAAAACTAATGCTCTGGAAGTCCTACTCTCAGACAAGGAAAGATGCGTCTGGCTTAGACAAAGACAGTTGTTTGATGCTAGTACAAACATGGTACAGATAGGAGAAGATACCATCACACCTGCTCAGTATACAAGGTGGCACTTCAGCAATTGTTAATAATGATGTAAAAGCTGAAAATAAAAAGACAGAACAATGCACAATCTCAAGAAGGGATCAAGACACAAGTGTATAAGATGCAAAAAACTTAGAAAGTTTCTTGGCCCTTGGCCAAACTACATAGTTCGGAAATGTTCCAGTAGCAAGTCTGTGTTTGTTTATTTTTAACTTCTGCTCATCTTTTCTGTTCTGGCTGGGATCACAAGCAATATGCAAGATACAGAGACATTACACAGGCAAGCTTGTGTTGTCTGCAGAGTGAGATTAGTATGAATGAAATCTCAGAACTTTTCTACCCAATTTGAAATGTAAGGCATGGAGAGACATCCTCAATTTGACATAGCTAAGTTATTTCAAAGTTTGTTTTCCATAACTGTTTTTCACTGTACTGAGAGAATACTACCACAGTGCATTCATTTCATATGCTCTATCAGTCTAACCCATTTTCAAGTTCATACCAGTGCAAGTTAACTTGAATAACATTGAAACAGTGGTTTAGGTAGACTGTCAACTTTGCATGAAGATAAGGATGAATGTATGGTGGTTTTGTCCACAAGATATGCTTTGTGAGCAGTATTTTACAGTAGGAAGTTATATGTGATAATGCCTTACTCTGCCATAGTTAGGCACTTTGAAGAATATTTGCTAATCTCATCAGTTTTGTCATGTAAGGTTACTGGAGAATCCTGGGGTTTGACCAACCCATGTAGATCAAGATCATTAATTTTTTGAGGTTCACCTATCAGTTTGTGAGACAGCAGGGCAACAAGGTAAAGAAGTGAGCTCGGTTGTTCTCAGCTACACCATTTGTAAGACTCAACTTCCCATAATCCTGTATTTGCAAATTTTCTCTGTTGGTGAAGGTAGTATACTTGAACCAAGGGAAGCATACAAGATTACAGGATGGAGAGTGGTGTCTTCCTAGAATAAATGTAAACATATTCTTCCTTTAATTAATCCTTCAATGAATAATATGAGATCAGCACTGACCACAGGCTTGCATCTGGTTGATTCAAGGCGTTTATGAAGCTCACATTATCAGTCTGGGCTACATCAAGCAGAAGGGGACAGCCACAAGGACTGCATTAAGAACTGTTTTTTACTGCAGTTTCACCTGGGTTTCCCAGCTGGAAGCCTGGAGAGGTGCCTGCAGGGAGATATTGCTTTTCTTTGAATATTCCTGTCCTTTGCTGTGGTAAGTTGTTTTAATATTGTCCAGGAATTGCAACTATTTCAAGGGGAAGATGTGAAAGAAAAAAATGTTTTTCAGCTGGTGACAAAACTGTGCTAAATAATTAAATCCAGGAGAGGCACGGAGTCAGAGAAGCTGGAGGATGCTCTCTTCACATCCCCTTCCTGTTCAGTATTCATTGCAACTTGGATGATACTGGCTGGAGGCCAAACCTCCTCCAGCATGGCCTTTGCTCTAGTGAACTTTCTGCCATCAGGAACCCTACATCTGGGATTGTACTGATGGAGAGCTCCAGCTGAATCTGCCCACTTAACAATACTGTCTTTGCCACAGGAGTCTCTGGGCATTACTGTTCCACTGTTTTTCCCCGGTCCAGCATTTCTAGAAGCTTGGGCCCAGTTGGGGTCCAAGTACAAATGAAGAGTTGGAGTGACAATGTATTGTTTCCCCTCTGCCTCTTGGAGCTAAGTATTAGGGGACAGCCCTCAAGAGAATAGGGATCTGAAGGGGGTTACAAACCATCAGTGAAACAAGTTTCATATTCTCGCACAGATAGCTGCATCTGTTTGAATGTATCTTTCATGTCCTTGGTCTCTGTGGAAAGTGCCCAACACAGAAATGTAGAGGATGTTAATCTGCACTGTCTGTGCAGATTTCAATGGAAGTTTCCCATTATAAATCCAGCAGCCCTGTTACAAATCAGGTTGGTTTCCAGTCTTGTCATTCTCAGCCTGTCATTTTTTTTCTCTCTGAAGTGTTGTGGTAAACACTTTGGGTTCAAAAAAAATAAGGTTTTGTGAACTATCCCTATGAATACATTCTGTAACTCTTTTAGCTGAAGAATTGGTATCTGGGTGATCAATGAAAACTCCAAGTGTAAAAAAGGAAAGCCTGGTGACAGCTACCAGCCCTACTTTCCTTGTCTAAAATGTGCCACATCTCCATCCAGGGATATGTTGACAAAGTGCTCTGGTTGCTCAGTGTGAGGCTGGGCATTGGTGACAGCTGTGCTCAGCTTGCCAGTCTGAGTAGAGGACTTCCTGTCCCATCACAATTTTAGTTTCCTTTTTGCCATGTCTGCTGTTGGTTTTCCACCTTGGCAGATTTGCCAATTGAGATCCAAGCTGTTGACGCTTTCAGAAGAGCTGTCTGACATTGTTCTTCCACCTTCATATTTAAACCCCCCTGTTGAGTGGCCAGACTTCCAGAAATCTCCGAGATACAACAGCCTGCCTTGCATTCAACAAAAGCTGTTTACTGGTGTGGAGTTTTGTGAATCAGCGCTACTTTTTAAGTACATGAAGATAAATTTGTCTCTTCTGCTTTTTGCAACTCCTTTTAACATCTAAAGAGCATTAGGGAGTATTGTGGGCTGCAGAGCTGACAAGAACACTGAAAACCAAGTCCAAGTAGTGCAGAGATTAGGAAAATCTGAATTTGTCTTACTCTGTCAAAAATAACTCACTGCCTGATGCAAGATATTTTTTCCCCCAAATATTGCAATCTTTGCTTTTGAAGTAAGATTGTCAAGGTGGCATGGAGGTGGTGACAATAGGTTCATAGGCTATTAGTGCTGGTTGAGTCACATCATCACACGAAGGTTTGCCGGGCTGCTTTGGCAACTGGAGCAGAGGTCAGTCTGAAGAACAGCTCACAAAACTGGGCTATTTTTTCACGTGCATCTGCTCTTTTTGTTTGCAGTGCAGGAGGATTCACAGGGACCAGAATAACGGAGCACAAGAGCAGGGAGGAGGCAGGATCTTAAGGCACTGCTGCCTGCAGGAGTCATTTAAGGAAAAGCGTGCTAGTGGATCAAAACTGGACTTTTCACACCTGTTATTGGGAAAAAAAATCCAATATGTTTACTAATCCTGGCTCTCTGTGTGTATAATAGTGATTCAAGTTGCCTGTTATCCTTGTAATGGATCCTTCATTCAACATAATATTCCCTGTGATGCCAATCACAACAGAGCAATTTAAAGCTGAGTGCTTGGTTTGTATCATGACCCCATCTTTAGCCTCAGACTGAGGGTTTTTTCCTCTTTTCAGACACGTTTTTAGTTATTAAAGTTGGCAGATGTTTCAGATGTTTGAAAAGCTGAAAGTTACAGGACAGCCCTCTAGTTGCAAGAAAAGTATTACTGAAACAGTAAATATGTCAGTACAAATAAAAATAATATTTGAAATGAGTGCTTGCTCAGGCAAGTAAGAATATCAAAATCAATCAAGTTTTAACTACTGCTATGAAATTTTTTGTTCCTTTATATTCTGACCATTGTTTAATTTGTGACCCAAAGTTATCTCAGCTTCTTTGACATTAAAAAGGACTCTTCCAAATGCCAAATGCAGGTAAAAAGACTACTACCACAGGTATGCAGAGCCAATTTGTGGCTAATACTTTTAAATTGAAGGTGCAAAAATTGCCATTATTCCTGACACCTGGTTTTGTAGACCAAGACAGGAAACTGATGTGGACAGTCATGTTTTTAGCCTTATTCTAATCATTTGAAAACATGGGCAAAGAAGCTACAATTTGCTGCAAATATGCCTGAATTCATGCTGGTACAGTATTAAGTTTTGTTTATTTCTATTTACTTTATACACGTCTGTTTTGCTTTTGCCAGATAACCAGCAAGTCTCTCTGACAGAGATTAGCATTTATTTTCCTTCTTATTGCTTCTTGTCTGTGAGGCTTGGCTACAGGTGACCTCTTTTGTACCTGCTTAGTTTGCTTTTGCCGTGTAGGTTTGTCTTTTTTTTTTTTTTTTAATGTCTTTCCCAGTCTTTTGGATGAAGTTTGGAGAAGATGCAAGTCAAGAAAGGAAGACCTAGCTGCATTTTTTGTCACAGGACCCAGATATAAAGCACCAACATTTTTTTTTTTTGGTTGTGTTTTTTTTTTCTCTAAGTACATGGAGATTTAAATTTCTGAATGCCTAGATTTCCCACATTGAACTAAATTCATTGCATTTTCCTTGTGTGTTTGTTCCAAGCAGCCATGGTGTGTTTTCCATGTTTGGATCACTGATGATAGGAAATTCTTTTTTTCTTTTTAAGTGCAAACCATTTTCAGCATTTCGTTTTATCTGTCATGGATTAATATTTGTTTTTTCTACTCAATGTGGGGTGTTTCAGCTGTTCAGTTGGCTGGACTTGCTCCAAGTTTGACTTTTTTCTGTTTCAGTGCTTTTATATGTGAGAAAGGAGACAGATGAGGTGTTTGATGCCTTGATGCTGAAATCACCCACAGTAAAGGGGCTAATGGAAGCGGTAAGTATCCAACGTCCTTACTTTATCTTTCTTAGTAAGGAAATCTTGAGACTCTCAATGTGTTGCTGAGATAAAATATAATAGAGAGATGAAGCGATTCTCAAATATATTAAAAGCCTAATTAGTGCTTTTCGGAGCATACCTCTGAAATGTTGGCATGTTCTAAACTGAATGCTGTCAGCAAGTTACTGAGATGAAATAGACTCACAGAACTGATTTATTGGAGAGCCAACCCTTGAGGAACGGCAGTAATTAACCAATGTCAAGAAAATGGGGAAATAAAGGCTTCATTTTCTGAAACACTTCTTTTTGAACTGCTGATTCAGAACCTGTTGAATCTTCTGCAGTGTTCATTGGTGCATTCAGAGCCGTCTTTTAAAGAAGAGGCCCAAGGATGCACTGTTTCCATGTGAATTTCATCTGGCTTTTGTGCAGTGCTGTCTTAGCACACATGGATAGGTCATGAGCCAATGCAGGCAGGTCATTCATACTCCTGTCTCACATGCCTTATCCAGCCCTAACTCTCAGTGTGACCTGATCAAGCCTGTCTCTTTGTCAAGCTGCATCTTTGTCTTGAGTTTTTACTTGTTACATGTTATCTGTGGTTGTGAGTGAATATTTTTATAGTTAATACTGTTTATATGAGCTGATGGCTAGTATCTGTGTGAAATTTGGTGAAGGACGGATGAAGAAGCAATTGTGTGTCTCATTGCTTAGGTGGGAAACTAATATGAGACTGACCTGTAGAGAGAAACTGCCTGGCCTGAGAAGATGGGAATTGGAGGAAAGTGCCTCTAGAGAGTTCAGCTGAGTGCTAGAAGTATATATATTTGTACTTGCATAAAATCATCAGTGTCTTGTAGCACGTATCAAACATAGTGCAGTAAGGCTTTAGTTTCTTAGCCAGAAGTACAAGACAAAAAGATCTTGTGGTTTTTGGGATTGTCTCAGCCACCTACTAAATCAGGGTATCTCTGAGGTGAGTCAGCTGTGTTACAGAAATGGCCTAATGATTCTTTTGCAAAAGCTTTCTGTTAGTGACTGCAGAATGCACATGTATAATAATAGGCAGGCTTCACTTGAAGGGGCTGCAATCTGATTCATGGTAAAACTGGAACGTGATATTATCTTATCTTTATATGAAAGTTAAAAGTAAGTTTTAATTCTTCCATAACACTTCATGCTAAAGTTAACATTTTATCTTCAGTATTCTGTGCCTCTTAATGGCTGTATCCAGCTACTCTGTAACATAAAAATAAAGCTGGTCCAGAAACAGGAAAGGTTTCTGTATACTTCTGTCAGCACAGCTGCTTATTCAGGGCACGTTTTTGGCACCAGAGAAATCTAATCTGTTGTAAAATTTCCCAGATCATAAGGAATACATTCATAAAATTTTAATTCTCTTTGGTAGGATATAGTAGATAAGTGAATGCCAAAAAGCTGTCAAATTACATACTCTTAACTACTTTCTCTGCAGTCTTTTCGACAAATAATGCAATTTTGTAATTGTGCACATCCTAAATACTCAATTTTAAGTTCAGTGCAAGGATTCAAGAAACTGAGGATCTGGTGACTGACCAGGTCCAAATCCTGCTTTCAGAGTCATCCAGATTCCACCCGAAGAGGTGGAACTCTTTGGATCACAGTAGATGCTGCAGTCTAACATGGCAGAGGATGATCTAAACTGGGAAATTCAAGTATCTTCCAATGTCTTTCTAAAATTAAAACCAGCTGAGTTCAACAGAGCTCGCTTAGACCACAGTTTATTGTACATGTCTATATGTATGTGTTCTTCCAACCTATTTAGGGCAACAGAGAAGACCACTCCATAGGAATAAATTGGCAGAGATATTTTTCTGCATTCCTTGACCAGCCCAGGTGCTGTCTTTTGTGTCATCCTGACTTGAGCAGAAAAAGCATTTCTGGTGGCTTCTGCAATCAGATGTGTGCTACAGACAGAGTTGCCATGCCAGGGGGCTGCAGCCCAAAGAGAGAACCACCCTCTCATTTCAGTATCACTCTGAAGGAAGTACCACAGCTTCAGGCATCCTAAGGGAAGCAGAGAATTCTCTGCTCAGAGTATTTCAAAACAGAGATTATAAGGGAAAATATTCCAAATAAAGATATATTTAATTACTGTATTGTAGTATGCTTGGGATCAGACAAGAAATCCTGTTTTATATGGAGGTTGGCAGTAGTGTTTTTCCCCCCAGTTGGCAACAAACCTGTTTCAGAAAAGGGTGTTAAGTGAGATGCCCTAGCAGATGCTAGCTCTCTGCTTTCTCAGATTCTGCAGCAGGACTTAGCACATTTGTACTGGAGACTTGCTTTCTGAGCCTGTGAGTGGGAGGCTTTCCCATTCTCCTGCTTCAAGCCATGCTTCCACAGCTCACCATTTAGTATAATTGGTTGAATCCTTAGGGGTTCCTGAGAAATGTGCTTAGTCAGTTAGCTGGAAGTCTTTCCCAAAGCTCACTAATCCCTTCATATCATATAAATCCCACACCTGTTACAGGCAGTATGACAAGCAGGACTTTCTTGGCCCTACCACTCATAGCTTGTGTAGGAAGTGGTGTCCCCAGGGTCCCAAACCACTTTGAGCAACATTTGATATGCATGAGTATTAGGCATGCCAAGTATCCTAGGAAAGTTTGATGCTGGAACGTGCAGAATGCTATATATTAACTGCTAGTAAATCTCTTTGAGGAAAGAATATTTGTATCAAGTCTTCAGCACTGATCTTTACAATATCCTTGGGCTTCAGAGTTAACATGCCGAAGATGATACAGCATTTCCCCATATTCACACAGGACTTGTGACATTTTCACATATCTCCAGCACTGTATCTAAAAGGGCAGTGAAACATGTTGGCACAAGTAAAACTGAGGTATGGAGTGGGTAGGTCTGGTGAACCCCACCAGATACTCTTTAAATACATCATCCCCTGTTAGCCACAGATAGAAACTGCAAGCAGAGGAAACTGTTGCCGGTGTCAAAGTTTCATTGGCTTTTCATATCTTGGAGTTATGCTGTACTTCCTAAATACAAAATTCTGTCTTAGGCAAGATGGCAGTTATACAAGTATAGGTGATGTAGGCAAGTATAGGCTAATTAATTCTCTTAGCTACGTCTGCTGTCTGGATAGGAGCTGTGTTTGAGGTTCAACCTGAGAGTATTTGAATATGTCCCTGGTGCTGAGTTTTATTCATTGCTTGCTTTTCATTTTCTGTTTCATAATTGCTTTCATTTACTCTTCTAAAATATGACTTTTCTCAATGGCAATCTGAGCACAAACACAAGGAAAGGATTTCACAGTGACGGATGTTTGACAGGTTTTAGTGGATTTTTAATTGTGCATTTCAGTTCTCTGATGCAGAAGAAAAGAGTCAGCTATTTAGCTGCAACCTCATTTAACCTGGGAAGAGCAAGAAGCTTACTTTGCTTGGCAGTAGCATAACACAGTTCATTAATCACTGACTAAAAGGTCCTTTTTCCATAATTATTCTTCCTCTTGGGACAATCCTCTTCTACAGTGTAAGTGGGGAGACCCGTTCCCTGAAAGAAAAGTCATAATTTGGAAAGGAAGCTCTCAGTTCTCAGGAACATCAGCTCCAGGAATGCACCACAGGTTTGTTTTAGAGTGAGCCAACACACTGCTGCAAAGCAAGGCAAAAACATTGCAGTGAAGGGCGCTTGCTGACGCCAGCAGTTTGTTGGCTATATTCTTCATTCAAAGTTTTGCTATATTGTCTACTTTATCATGTGAATGGATGTAAAGGGATTGATTTTAAAAGTCCTTTACCATGTTAACAGACTTCTCTGAGGCATCTCATCTTGTTATGGGTACATTCGTGATGCTTTGTGATACTAGTAATTGAGCCACCTCCCCAGAAGTGGAGTGGGAGTGGTCTGTGCAGTACCACGGCCTCACACCTGAAAAGGTACCCAGAAGATACTTCTCAGACCAAAGGAGTGCCATGAAGGGTCCTGTTAGCTTAACAGATATTGAAATGTCATTGAGAAATAATAGATGTCCTGTTGTGTTGCTGCTCACCTGTCTTCTGCCTTGGCTGAGGAGTATTTGCTTCCATGAGTGCAGAAAATCAGAGTAGGGAAAGGCAGAAAGATTGCTGAGGGGATTGAAATTCCTGGGTAGAATCTAAACCTGGGGAGTATGTTAATTCTCAAGCAGATCAGTAGGAAATGCTGAGGCAATGATAAATCATATCTATGAAAACTGTAGTCTCCAAGTTTCTGGATAGAAAAGTTAGTATTTTTTATGAAAATTTTTAGGATTATTTTTCCTCAAATCATCCTTAAATGAAGGTATAATGTGGTTGTAACTTTCCTCTTTCTTGAGACTTTTTTTCATAGTTATCCTGTCAAAGTTTGCAGAGATAATGTTTAAATTGCCTTATGTAAAGCGAGAGGTGAGGTGCTATTCCTCATTAGTCTTTATTTCTTTTGTTTTGATGATTTCAGATCTCTGAGAAATATGGATTGCCAGTGGAAAAAATTGCAAAACTTTATAAGAAGAGCAAAAAGGGGTAAGTAAGCCGTAAGTAAACTAACTATGACAGTCAGGGATCCCAACTATGCCTGGGGCATCATTATACTAGACAGTACAAACACTTCTAGGAGACCTGCCCACAACCCTAAAATCTTACTGTCTATGGAAAAAGCAAGTGAGCAAGCGGTAGCAAAAGAAGAAACATCCAGCCTGTCTCTGACTGGCATTCATAGGCTTACTGTGAAGGAGCAGTATTTATGTTTGGAAAATGTACTTGCGTAAAGCCTGTTTTACAGGCTATATACTTAACAACATTCTGGAGAGTGGTATGGGAAAGGCACAGCCTTTGCTGTGAATGCAGCATGGAGTTTCCCTGCAGCATTAGGAAGAAATGGGCTGCTGCCTGAATCTGAAAGGCAGGCAAGCACAAGGGAGAATGCTGTTTGCTGCAGGGCTTTCGACTGAGTAAATTTAGACATGAGCATCACAGCTGTGGTTTTATAATGGCTAGGCTACTACGCTTTAAATAAATCTGAATCTCTTTATTTTAACTTTTTGTTACTGCTAAATAACATCAATATTCTAGCAACATCATTTTAAGTAAGTCATTTATTTTTGGTTCTAACTGTAACCTAGGGCAATGTTTTGTCTGATGATTTCTTTTGCTTTTGAAAAGACAGGTGAGTCTTGTCATGTTTTGCTTCTTTCATACACTGTTTCCAAGTGATGTGTTTGTTGGAAGAAATCCTTTATGGTAAAGAGTGAGGAAGACAATCCTATACGCTTGTACTAGTACTCTTGCACCCGAGCTGAGTTCTGTGAGCTGTGTGCACAGCACCAATTATACTGCTTTCCCATGTCAGTGACTCACATCATGGAGGAGGAGCAGCTTGTGTGGCATGGCTGGGGAGTAGAAAAAGATGCACTTGGGGGATCTGACACTGCACATAGGAAATGCTGGCTGAGTCTGCACAAAATCTGGTGTGCACCTGCAGGCACACTGAAGTGGGTAAAGTTGTAAAGTCCCAGCCCTGACACATATCTAACTACTTTCACAAGTTGCAACCTATAATCCAAAGGATAGAAGGGACTATGGGGCAGACCTTGATGATAATTTCCCATCTCGTCCCTGTACTGGCACGTGCTGGAGTCTCTTATTGTTTCATGTTGAAGTCAGTGGAGTGTGTGCATGAGTGGAGTGCATGGCTTTCCCTTTCGCTGTTCTGGTATATGAAAATACTGATTTTTGCCTTTGTCACCAGTATCCTGGTAAACATGGATGACAACATTATTGAGCACTACTCCAATGAGGACACATTCATCCTACACATGGAAAGTGTGGTTGAAGGCTTCAAGATCACACTGACTGAGATCTAGCCTCAGACAGAGCCCTTTCATAAAGAACCCACAGCATTTCATTCTTCTTGGAAAGCAGAAGATGCCTATGGAAGTTGACAGACATTGATTAGAGAAACTGTTACAAGACTGCTTTGAAAATATTGTCCGTTCTGCACATGCACACCTATCGCATACAGGCTTGGGTTCGTCAAGCACAAGGCCACTCATGTTAACCTGGTCCCTTATTTATTGCTCCCCACTCTCCATTGTACAAGCAGTCAGCAGCCCCCAGATTTGTAACCAGATGACCCACTGCAAATGTGAAATGCAGCATTTTAGTCCATGCTTTAGTGTGGATAAGCTTATTCTAAAATATAGTGAGGAACTTTGCTGGTCCAGTTTCAGAAATCTGATATAAATCACTTTGCCAGTAGTTCTCTCCTCTCGCTAAAAACTGGTGCAGTGCTAAAGGTGGGGAAAGTGGCTGACAGAGTTCACTTGCTCAGACCGATCCATATCTCTCTCTAGTGTATAGTCTTGCCAAATACCTCTGGTAGTTCTCAGCATGTAGCAATGAGGACTTGTAAGTAAGGCGTTCAGCTACAAATGTCACTTGTAAGTAAATGGTAAAGAAACCATTTTAACTTTGTATATAATGTTTATAATATGCAATAATATATTTTAACTACTGTATGTGGGCACGTTTATTGCCACTATGTTTTTGTATGTATTGGGCTTAGGGTTTAACAGAATATTTCCTAGAAGATTAGATTTCTGCAATCTGTTAAGGAGTGTGTACTGAGAATCTGATAACTGTCTGCATTTTTGCACTCCATCCCTGCCCACCCAGTTTTATACTGAAATATTGGCGCAAACAGTGCTACAGCATTTGGAGTGCACTGTCACTGTGGGACCCACCTTTGGTGCCCTGGTCCCAAACACAGATACCTGGGTACTCCATCCAGCTTTCACCAAATCATAGAGGCACCCCTGTGTCTGGTGTGTCAAGAAGCCTGTTCTCTTGGTGAAGCGAGGGCTCTCAAAATGAGCCTGTCTCAAACCCCAACAAACTGCTCATTAAAGCATTCCTTTAGACTGCAAGAAACTATAGACTCATCTTCTTAAGGGAGTTTGCTCTTGTATCTCCATAGAATGATTCTGTTTTGATTCCTAGTGCAGTTCAATGAGGTAAAAAGTTGGGCTTGATGTAAATATTTTACAGGCTGGATCTGAACCTAGGGTCAATTATGCTGTCACACCATCAAGTTCCATATCTGTCGCAGGAATTCTGAGAGAGAAAGGCTACAGACTAATCATACCAGGAAAGGAGTCCAAGGCCTGAATGTCCCCAGCAAATGTAAACCTGGCACCTATCTCTCTACTTTCCAGTTCCTCTTCCTGTCTTAGATTGCTCCTCACACAGTGAACAGTCCTGTAGTTTTCAGTTGTAAGCATTTCATTTCCCATGCACTGTGTAGGGATCCCATGAGACAGGCAGAAATGTGAGGCCTTTCCTATGAACAACCTTTAGAGTTTTATTAATTCCTCCTTCTAAAGACTCTTATTCACTTAGTCACAGTATTTTTTTCATTAGCTGGTTAATGACGTAAAGAAGCACTGCTGAGTTTAATGGGGCTCCTTCTCTAGTGGTTTGAGCTGTGGGAAGCTATTTACATCCAAGCAAAGTAGTTGGAAAAGCTAACTAATCTGATTCTATCATATTTCTGCATGAATTGTCTTGCAAGATCTTGCAATTTCTTAACTTCATTAGTGATAGCATCCCATTAAAATTTGATCTTCAAATACAAATGTCAAATGTCAGGTACAAATGTCAGGTACCTGTCAAAGCTCCTGCACTATCAGAACCTATGAAAGCTCTCTGCTACTTGTGTCAGGGCTATCACATTCAGAATCCATATGCATCTGGAAAGCAAAGTGTCTGTTTTGTCTGTCTTCTCTTCCTTTCTACTCATCTGTTGTGTGTTCTTTCTGCTCCTGATGCAGACTTGTGTAGTAATTCCATTGTCTTTTTATGGATACATACTCCAGTAAAGATGCTTTTGCTACACTGCTTAAGGGCGGACATCTTAGAAATACAATGGATTTAGGGTAATTTCATTTATTTCTGCTTGACTCAGACTCAGATAAAAAGTCCTTGCTGACATAGCCCAGATACTTTTCCACTCCCAAAAAGCAGGACAGTTTTGACAGGTGGCATTAAGAACACAGGACTTGTGAGCAATGCTGTTGGTTCTTGTATTTATCTCTTATTTAATAGTGTTTGGGATTCCAAGGAATTTAACTGAGATTTCTCAGTTGGTCACGATGTCCCAGCAAAGGCTGCATGCTAAGCTCAGTAGTAATCGCATGCAGGATTTGAGCCCAGGTTCTGTCCCTGTCAGTGCCTGTGGTCTCTGGGGCTGGGTTGTGGTGTGCCACATTAGGGGATGTCAGTGAGAATCTGAGGTTCACAGAGAAGGATGGGACTGTCCTGGCAGCACCAGCACCCTTGTTAGTACTTTATCCTTGTATCACATAGAGGTGGAACTCTATTCTTTGCTAATTAGAGCTAGGTTCTGCTACATGTTGTAACGTCCAGCTCTGAGGAGCAGTATCATAGAATCACAGAATGGCTTGAGTTATAAGAGACCTTGGAGCACACCCACTCTCAACCCCCTGCCATGGGCAGGGCTACCACCTCCTAGCTCAGGCTGCCCAGGGCCCATCCAGTCTGATCTTGAGCACCTCCAGGGATGGGGCACCCACAGCTCTCTGGGCAGCTGTGCCAATGCTGAACAACACCAGCTCCCTCAGCCTTTCTTCATAGGAAAAGTGCTCCAGCATCTTCATGGTTTCCTCTAGACCTATTCCAACAGCTCTGCATCCTTTTTGTACTGGGGGCCCCAGGCATGGATCCAATACTGCAGGTGGGGCCTCATGAAAGCAGAGCAGAAGAGGACAATCCTCTCCCTCACTCTGCTGGCCTCTCCTCTGTTGGTGCAGCCCACAGTTGGCCTTCTGGGCTGCAAGGCACACTGCTGGCTTGTGTCAAACATTTGTTCACCAGAACCCACGGTATAGGATCAGCAAAAGCTGCAATGCTCCAGGAAATGCTGGAGCTTAAAGAGCAGAGCTGCCTTTCCAATGCCATTTTAGGAGCTTTAGGTCAGGCACTGTCCAGGGAAGGAAAGTTGTTTCCAAGATTAACTGAAAGCTTTTCTAAATATATCTCTAAGTGTACAAATTCCTGGTCAGTAGCGAGAGAGCTGATCCTCCTGCCTTTAGCTCCATCTTACAGTCTCAGTGGAGAGAGCAGGGCTGAGGAGGACAGATAGCACTTATCCAGACACTAAGAATATTTTAGAACAACTACTGGAGCTAGTTAGGGATGATCTTCATTAACTTCATTTACCTGCCGGGGCCTGAGGACTTTGTTTTTCTGTTCCATATGCTAAATGCATCACAAGCATCTAAATAATTATGAAACGTAAATCACCCTGCACCCGGTCAGTTTAGTTACAGCATCAGCTGCCACAGAAGCTCTGAACCTCGGTGCTGGTCATGGCGAGCTACAAGCTCTCGGGGTTCACCACCTCTGAGGGTTTGTTGCTCAAAATCAGAATATCGGTGCTGGGGAAGGGCCAGCACCAAAAATGCAAACTTCTGAAGGAGGGACCCATTCAAAGGCCACAAGGAGCATAAAGTTTCTGTCTATTGTTTAAAATGTATGTGTTGCTTTTGTTTCATGAAGAAGTCTGATTAATGCTGTGTCTTCCAAATATGAAGAGTTAAATGGAAGTAAGATTTGGCTGTCGTTTAGCACCAGACAGGAATGTCTTTGTTGCCTCCTTTTGTGGCACTGCTATGGTTGTTTACTCAAGGGAACAAAACTCATTTCCTTCTACAAGAGGACAGGCTGGAATCTAGTGCAGCCTCGAGGCTGCTCAGCATCATTTCCATACAAAGAGCGAGAGTAGTGCAGTGTCTGTAGATGCTGTGTGAAAGACTGACAGAGAGGTGCAAAAGGCAGAGTAGCCTTCTAAGCTCTGGCCTTTGTTCCTGCTGTAGATTTGGCACTATGTCCGCCCTTTTGATCATTTGCTATAAAAACCCAAATCTCAGGCTTTGTTTTCCTTTTACACAGTCAGGTGCTTATATCCCCAAAATGTAGTGCATTCTTGCAGCGAAGCTTCATTGATGTATGGTAGCGTTCCCATCAAGGTATTTTGGAGGACTTTTTATCACTGAATGTTAACTACAAAGAAAATAGCTTCTTTTTTCTTTTTCTTTTTTTTTTTTCTGCGTGTTCTCATTAAGTTTTGGTCAGTGAAATTCAGAGATCAAGAGCCTTTCTTGAACATTTTCCTCTTTCAGTCTGTGGACGGATTAAATGCTATAAATGAATTCAAATGCTTGGTAAAAACTCAGCCCTCCAGCTGTCACAGAAGCTGTATGTTGATTGGTATGAAACTGGGAAGGAATATCTTAGGGCCTTAAATGTAAAGCTTATGAAATGTTTATATGCTCTTCCATTTCCTATGAATTGAGACAAGATACAAACGAGTGTTTGTGCCAAAGTTTGTAACCAGCCCTCACTTTGACAAACAACAAACTATGTATAAATAGTGTGCTTTTATATTAAGGAGTAGCTCATGTAACTTAATAGTGTTGCAACTGGGAGAGGGGTTTGATAAACTGTAAATACAGTTATTTTATTTTATTTTTTGTACATTTTTAAGAAGGAAAAAAATAAATATTCCGATGTATGAGATAATATTTCTGTTGCTGTGGCGTGGGGATGGAGTTCCTATGAGTGAGCCCAGAAAATGTACCAATAAGAAGAAAGTAGGAATCCATGCTACAAGAAAACAAGTGCAGAGACTGAAAAAAATAATCACCAAACAGTGCATACAGCTTTTACACTTTTAGGTAGTGCCTACTGGTGACACAGATGTGGTGTAAGAGTAGTGGTGTGACTTCAGCCCCAGTCCAGCTCCCCTGGAATAGATAGGTTCGGGTCAGCTTTCCATCAGCAAAATGGATATGAGTTTATTAATCATTCTCTCTCTTCCCTTGTTTGCCCCAGATTTTCAATCTGTAACCAAACAAACTTGGCAGAGGAATCCCAACAGAGGAAGTACACTTCAATGGATTTTTTGTGATTAATAGGGAGAGGAAGGAAAATTAATCTGTTGTACACTTCAGTAGTATTTCAGTCTTCCATTTCCTAGGTGTACACATTTTCTTTCTTCCTCACCACTTTTCTGCAGAATATTTAAGTGTCAATGTGAAATTGTCCAACCTTGGTGGGAAGGACCCACCTTCCCAGTGCAGGGACAGGATTATCAGATTCATCTTAATTATTCAAGTGCAAAAACTCTCAAGTGGAAGGAGGAATCTGATCTCAAACAAGTGGGTAAGAAAGAGGATCCCTTTTGATGCACCAGATCTGGCTCTTCAAGCAAAGTAATCAGGAGAAGAGTTGAACTCCTGAGATGATTTAGGGCAGAATCTTCTTCCCTGGCAGTCTGCAGCAAGTCTCGAAAAGTCTAGGAAGTCTAGGCTGGGCTTGAGCATGCCTGGAGCCCTCAGATCACCTCTGCTTTATAGGGTTTTCCATATCAGCAGGATTTTGCATCAAGGTACAACCAAAAGCGATGCAGTCACCTGCTTCCTTTGTTGGCTGGACTTTGCGGCCCGTGTTCATGTCACCAAGCAGAAGCACCTCGTTTAAAGGGGACTGGTGTCCTACAGTCAGTGGAGAGACACAGAGGTGGACATTTTTAATAGAGGCAAAGGTGAACTGCTGGCTTTCTCCCATCCTGATCTCCTGGCATGTTGGAGCGTCCTGGGAACCCAGTGGAAATTCTGATAGTAGCACCTTTGTGAGCACGGAGCATCCACGTCTGCTCCTACTGTGCCCTGTGTGCCCAAAGCACAGATGCATATTGGCCCATGTCTCTTCCAGTAAAACACTTTCATAAACTATTTTGATTCCCACCATTTATCTTTTTTTTTTTTTTTTTTTTTACAAATGAGAGCCAGGAGGCAAAAACACCTAAGCTGTGAAAGCAGCATGGGGCAGCCATGTTGCGTTACAGGGTGGCAGAGATCGGAGCCGATACCTCCCACTCAGGGCAAGTCCTGGCTGGAATGAGCTGCTGTGGAAGAGCCAACCCCAACATCTCCTTTCTTCCCACAGAAGATTCCCAGGCGATGAGGGAAGAAGTCAATTCGCCAGCAATCTCAGCCAGTGCAGAGTGCAGTTGTAGAGCCAGTGGCTCCAAGAGTCAACTTAGTCCCACCCGTTGCCATCCCCACCAGAGGGGAACTCATCCACCTGCGTCTGGGTTGAGGAGTGTTCTCGCAGCTGCCAGAGATTTAAAATAAGGGCTGTCTCTTGGAAAACTTGGTGTTTCCTAATCATTATGAAAAGTCTTTGTCATTTTTTGGTGTATCACACACTGAGGCACATGGTGCTCCATAGCTTGGTGTGTCTGGCTGACTAGATGACAGCAAAAGAGGTTTTTCTTCCAGATGCACTGGAAACCACAGAACCCCATCCCCTTCTGCAACCCCTCTGCCTGCTGCCAGCCCCAGCACAGCCCTGCTCCTCTGCAGCCAGCGCCTGTACTCCAGCAGCAACCAACAGGGGTGTGATGCCCTGTTTCTTACATATTTCACAGACTGACTGGGCTCGTCAAAGTAATCCCATTTCCTGGGCGCTGCCTGCGATAGAAGTTTAATAGTGTTTTATAGGAAGTCATTTTACTAAGTGGCTCTTGAGATGCTTTAGGGGCTGAGTGCCCTGCCTGCAGAGGCTGTGAGAGGAACAAGAAGTGCTGCCGCGGATGGGAACCACCACAACTTCAGCAGCGCCCCGTGTTTCTGAGGCAGCTGGGTGTGCTTCAGCTGCCCATCAACTGGGAGAGGGCAAAGCCCTTCCCTCGTGTAGGGTTTAGCTGAATTTTTAGAAGAATGATGGTGGCCTACAGCTTGTGCCTCATAGAAGAAGTGCTGAGGCCGCTGTGTTTGTGCAGCCCAGAGCAGAGGAGCTGAGGGGAGGCCTGATGGTGGCTGCAGCTCCTCACAGGGAGCGGAGGGGCAGCGCTGAGCTCTGCTCTGTGTGAAGCGACAGGGCCCGAGGGAACGGCATGGAGCTACCACTGAGCAGATGTTCCATCAGCCATCATCCTCCGGCCCCTTTCAAGCTGATATTAACACACCGATTCACAAATAAGTTGGGTTTTATTGATCTGAGGTGGAAACAAGCAGTGGTTTCAGTTACCTCCCAATGGTATTTAAACTACTTTTAGCATCCTGGTGCTAATCCCAGCTCCAAATTTAACCCAGGTAAAAATGTGAGGAGCTTAAAGCAAATGCCTGTGGCTGCATGAGCAAACAGCCGCCCTTGGAGCGTGCAGCCCTCCCACTGCAACGTGCTGCCTGTGCCCATGCACGGCTTAAGCCCTCACTAAGCTCTGGAAATTGATTTAGCTGGACACAGCCCAGCCGTGGGCAGGAGGGGGCCGTGGAGCTCCAGGTTGGAGAAGAACATCACATCCACGTAGCTGGCTGCAGCAGAATATTTATTAGTAGGAAAGAACATTTAGGGGATTTCAGTCGGAGAATTTGCGTGAACCTTCAGTATCCACCATACACTGGTTGTCATTGAGATTGTTCAAGGTTACATATTTATATAAGAAAACAAAATAATTCATATTTAGGTGCAATCAATAATTC